TTTTTCTAAAGTTGATAGTTTTCGCGATATAAGCTATACTAAGTGACATATAAATCCGAACACCCAGTTCAAATGGTTTTATTTTAATAAAAGTTGGTGGATGCATTTATCTTACTGTAAATAACAAGTAAAAATTTTCAGCCTTATCAGTTGGACATTCCGGTTTTTATACTGCTTTTTTTTAATTCACTAACGCTCTAAAAATGAATATTTCAGCCGCAGTAAAGAATCAACGTTGGCGGATGTTGGTTCTTGACATCCTTTATGATCGGTTACGATGCCTAGAGTACGGAGACCTGTACGATTTCGTCAACTTAGTGAGTTTGATAGGGGCCGTATAGTGGGACTTCGGGAAGCTGGACTTTATTTTCGGGCATTTGCAGTTAGAGTGCAAAGAAGTGTAGACACTGTGGTTAGGTGTTGTCAAGCATGGCTTCGAGAAGGCCGTACGCAAAGAGCAAGGGGCACTGGACGCCGCCGTAGAACAACAGACCGTGAAGATTATTGGCCTTAAGGGACCGTTTCTCCACTACCAGGTCCATTGCAAATGAATGGTTTGCAGAACACGGAAGACCTATTGGCATGCGAAGTGTTTACCGACGATTGAGAAGTTTTGGCTTGTTTTCATACCGGCCACACTGGGTCCTTCCTTTAACTCGAGAACACCGACGTAATCGCCTTGAGTGGTGCAGACAACGGTCACTCTGGGATCAGGAATGGAACAGTATTGTCTTTAGTGACGAGTCTCGATTTTGTTTAGTCATGCACGATGGTCGTGCCAGGGTTAGAAGGCGACGTGGTGAAAGGAGGAGTCCACAGTTTTTTTGTTGAAAGACATATTCATCACACTGTTGGAGTTATGGTTTGGGGTGCTATAGCTTATGGTTCCAGGTCACCTTTAATCTTCATCAGAGGTAACATGAACGCGCAGCGTTATATCCACGAAGTTCTAGAACCCCATCTTTTACCTTATCTTGACACCCTGGCAGATCCAACTTTCCAACAAGATAATGCCCGACCACATGTTGCAACAGTCACAATAGACTTCTTTCAACATAATGATGTCACATTGTTACCATGGCCACCAAGATCTCCCGACTTATCCCCAATTAAGCACGTGTGGGATATGATGGGTAGGAGATTGCTCAATTTGCAACGTCCTCCTCAGACTCTAGAAGCACTTCGAGAGGAGTTGGTGGTTGCCTGGAATGAGATACCACAGGAGGACATTGACCACCTGATCAGAAGCATGCCTAGGCGCGTTGGAGAATGGGTGCATGCACACATTATTAAAGGTCAAACGGCTTTAAAGCAGTGCAATCATTTTGAAATTTTTATCATTTACTTATTATGCTTCATTAAGTACTTATACAAAATTTTATTAAAATAAAACCATTTAAACTGGATGTTCGGATTTATATGTCACTTAGTATATTTGATATATGAAAATGTGCACAATATGCCATCTTTGACCCCAAAAATTAATATGAAAAAATAAAAAATTTAATTTTATGTTCTTAAATATTCTTCAAATATACAGTAACAAAATGCCAAAGCATTTAAGGGGTATTGTTATTGTTTTCTAATTGTTAATCAAGCACCCGCTCAATGTATGTTTTGCCTATATCTCGAAAGCTATCAACTTAAAAAAATTTTTAGACACTTTTTGTTCAAAATAACCTAAAAAATCTTTTTCCGAAGAGAAAGAAACAATGCTTGCAATTTGTTTAAAAATGTGTTACTGTCAACAGTTCAAATCGTCAAAGAGATAATCTCGAAAGTGCTGTCTAATACCAGAATCGACCACTAGGAAAGTGCAGTTGGAACAGCTGGAACTGTGTCAGTTCGCATTGGCAGCCGCGGTCGCTAGATTTTTTCAATTAATAATTAAATGCCGGAATTCCTGCATAGAGTACTGTCATCAGCAAAGCTGTGGATTGGGTTGATCGTGCAGGAAAGGAGATCATTGATATGAAAGAGAAACAATGTCGAAGCCAAGACCGATCCCTGGGGAACACCCGCGTTGACGTTGTGGGGCGAAGAGGAGAACCCGTCAATTACGACGGATACCTTGCGGCCAGACATAAAGTCAGCCACCCATCTGCAAAGCTTTTCTGGGAGGCCATAGGATAGAGGTTTGCTTAAGAGGGCAGCGTGCCACAGCTGATCGAACGCTTTCGTGAGGTCAAGAGCAACCCCATAGGCCTCAGCATAAGCCTGGATGAGTTTACTCCACAATTGCGAGACGTAAGCTAGGAGGTCCCCTGTGGATCGTTGGTGCCTGACTGACTGTCGCTAATCAAGCTGTGACGTTCGAGGTAGTCCAGAAGCTCGCGATGTATGCACCTCTCCATCACCTTACTTATAACAGAAAGCAGAGCTATAGGCCTGTAGTTGTAAGAGTCGGTCTTAGATCCCTTTTCTGGGATAGGTTGGACATGAGCAAATTTCCAGTTTTCTGGGAAGGTGCCGGATTCATAAGGCATCTGGAAGAGACGCGAAAGAACTGGAGCAAGCTCCGCTGCACATCTCTTCAATACAATGGCAGGATTCAAGCCCGGACCAGAAGCTTTGTTGATGTCGAGCGACAAGAGCCGTCTTACGGTCTTATGCCTGAATGTTACTTCCCGCATAGTTCAGGAAATCCTTCGAATCGACCGCACTTGGGCGTTGGGACGTCCATGGTGGAGTTGGCGACAAAGATCTTGGCAAGCACTTCCGCCTTAGCCTTTTTGGTCGGTTACAATTGCTCCCTTCCAGCACGTAAGTGGTGGACGGCTACTCTGGGAGATGTTTCAACAGAAAGACACAGTCGAGCAAGTTCGCAAGCATACAAAAATTTAAAATCGTGCGACTTTAGGTTCGACCAAAATTGCAACTTTTCTTCAACAATCAATCTCTAAATTGATTTCAAGAACAATTCAAAAGTTTCGAATACTAGCCAATAATGCTAAAGCCCCATTGAATTGACGCACTTTTTCATGTTTGCTCCTGCTCCTTCCTTTCCTTTCTTTCTTCTTCTCTTCTTTCTCCGTGACCTAGAAACTTACAATAGTTTAACCAAAGAATACAGAGTTAACAGTAGAAGAGCCACTCCTGAGACGATACCCGAGTATACTACAACTATTTAAAACTGTAATGACTCATACGCGTGATCAACACGTGATCAGAGCTCGATCCCGGCTTCCTTCCAGTACAGCCGTATAGCGTACGACATATGTCGTTTCTGTGGCTTTGCGGTGGTCAACAGCACAGACAGAGATGGAAATAATAGCTGATTGTTCTCCGCCGGTAGAACCAATGAAATCAAAGACGCGCCTCGACCGGCAGACTCATAGGCGTCGGCAACGCATTGGAACGTGTTTCGTTGAGCGATCGCATATTGTGTGTTTTTATAAGAATTGTTGTGTGATTGTTATTGTTGTGGTTTCTGTGGTTACTGTTTTGGTTATACTTAACCATGGAGAGTACAAATGGCACGAGTGGAAGTACTGAAAGCCAGGGAACAAGTAGACGGCTTCGTAAAGCACTGAAGAGGGACGCGAAAGAAATCGTGCTCAACTTGTTCAATTATCTGAACAGAACTATGTCGCAGGGAGATGCACTCGCGCGTTGTGAAAGTATGACAGGCGTTCCAGAGTGGACCATTCGCAGGGTGGTGCATGAAAACAAGAAAACTGGAGCTACTACTGATCCAAAGTTTAATTTGAAGGGACGAAAGGCCGTTAAATTGGGTGACGATAGCAAAATGGCGTTAAGGCGAACCGTACATTCATTCTTCTTTAGGAATGAGATACCAACCCTCAAGGCTGTACATGCAACGATCAAGGAAAATGAAATTATACCCCAAATGAGCGTCGAGGTAATGAGGAAATCCCTGCACGAAATTAATTTTCGTTACGAAACGCGTAATCGGAAGTCAGTATTGATAGAGAGACCTGAAATAGTAGTGAGTAACCGACAAGGTTTGTCAACAGGTCTTCGTGGACCGTCAGGGAAAGGTCAAAGATTGATCGTAACTCATATTGGTAGCGATAGTGGCTTTTTAGAATAGTGTGACTTGATTTTCGTCTCTAAGAAAGGAGGTGATTACCATGACGAAATGAATGCCAGCTGCTTCGAGAGCTGGTTTCAAGGGGTGCTTCAGCGAGTTGAGCCCAACTCTGTGATCGTCATGGATAATGTTTCCTACCATAGTCGTCGAGCCGAACGTGTACCGACTATGGGATCTCGAAAAAGTCCCATGCAGCAATGGTTGCGCGAAAAAGGAATCCCGTTTGACGATTCATGTGTGAAAGTGGAATTGTATGAAAAAATTAAACAGCACTGTGGTGTCACTGTGCTGCGGTTACCGCCCTACCACTGTGAACTGAACCCAATAGAGCTCATGTGGGCTCAAGTGAAGGGTTATATTGCGCGCCATAACACAACCTTCAAATTACCAGACGTTAAGGTTTTACTTGAGACTTCCATACAGCTAGTAACGCCCGAAGCTTGGCAGAATGCTATCCGTCATGTTGTGAAGGAAGAAACAAAAATGTGGCAGCTTGACCACCACATCGACACCATCATAGAGCCAGTTATAGTCAATTTCAACGAGGAAAGCGATAGCGACAGTTTATTACTGTCAGATGTAAGTGGCAGCGACGATGAATAAAGGTAATTCCCAAATTTTTGACTTACAATATGTTGCAAACCACTCTTTATTAAGCATGTGACAAATCTAGTTCACCCATGTTAAACATTCATACCCCGCCTATGAACAGCCGACTACTGGTAGTTAAGTGATGTTCACGTGAACATCGATGAGTCATTACAGTTTTAGATAGTTATAGTATAGCAAATCTGTATTATTTGCTTTAACCAAGAGCCAAGGTCCTACGGACTGCTCTGACAGACAATGACGAATAGAATAATCACTTTTACCCTATCCCGCATTTTTATCAGAGACAATGAGCACCCTATTACGAAACCACCATCTAACACACAATTCTCTTTAGTGTACCATACAGTGAAACCACGTCCCTTCGATGCCGACGCTGCCTGGCGCGACCACGTGGACCGCGTGAAGGGCAGGGAGCCCAGCCAATGGCCCAGCAACATCTTCCACACCACTTATCCGTTCTCCCGTTACCCTCTCTACCTAGTCTACAGCAAGAGGCCTCGAACCCCATCCCCATCCAGCAAGTACGATCCTCACCGCGCTTGGTTGGACCACCTGGACCGCCTGAACGAACTGGACAAGCTGTACCCCACTCTGTGGCCTTCCATCGGTGGATCCAAGGTAAGTTGGAACTGAATGTAAACATCGATACAATGTTTAGGAAAGAATATACCTACTGCTACTCCGGACAGTGGCGGCTCGTGGCAAAATAAAACAGGGGTTCTGCAAATCCGAACTTACCTATTTTTTACATGTCAGTTCGATCCTGCGCTCCTTCTTGGCTGCAAATTTGTCGATCACCTTCCCGTTGAAATTTTCCATGGTCGAAATAAATTCCTCTTCAATGGACAGCATCGACAACGCTGTAAGGCGATCCTGGGTCATAGTATTTCGAAGAAAGGTCTTGATTCTGTTGAGAAATTTCGCTCAGCCTCTGATGTTGACATAGCAGTTGTCACAATAATTTCTAATACCTTTTTTGTTTCTTTTAGTGTTTCCTCTAAACTATTTTGTATCAAAAATTTCAAAAGAGACAGAGCTCCATGTAAATCTCGGCAATCATTCCGTGCATAAATAACAGACAACTCTGTCTTTAAACGACTTTTTCTAATTCGTGATAAACCAAGCAGGTAGTTTCCAACTTATCATCAAGAAACTTACCACAGTATTTTCCAAAGTGTTCGGGGACAAAAAGGGATGCGGGTATCAAATGATCTTTGAATTGAAATCTGTCATTTGCAGAATTCACTATATTGTCGCATACTTCTAATGTGGCAACTCGGTGATCGTGACTGCTATTATTAGGTCGTCTCCTTTTGTTGCCTTGGGGTTCAGTGCAAATACTTTTTGCTTCATTTATTATGTCATGAATTTTATTTCTCACATCGACAATACATTTTTCAAAATTATCGCTGGCCGTTTTAACGTGCGCTGGCTCGGTTTTTCTCTTCTGCAACTGGTTGAACAAGATGTCGACGTGAGGCATGACATGATGAAAACATGTCAGCCAAAACACGAAAACAGAATCGTTTAACATACGGCGAATACCGCAAGCTGCCTTGCAAACGGTTTCATTAGTGAAATTTTCTTCTATTTCTTCCATGCTTTCAATGAGTGATTCTCTGTTCTCAAACACTACATTTATTGTTCGAATATTAAAATTCCAACGAGTACTGTACACCAGCATTATGTCTGCTCATTACCGCGGCTCCATCATAGCTTTGTGAAATCAGTTTGTTAGGGAAATTTCCTATTAATGAATCTACGACACTCAAAATATGTCTTGTGAGAGTATCAGCGTCAAATTTTTCGGGATTCATATAATTCCAAAAACGTTCTACTGGTTCGCCGTTAAATACGTATCTGAAAATTGTTACCAGTTGGGTTTTCCCCGAAATGTCCGTTGTTTCAACTGCTATTATCGCCAAATACAAGGCTCTGTTAATCTGTTTTATTATTTCTTCATGACAAACTTCAAGAATACAATCCAGTAGATCGTTTTGTATTTCTTTCGAAGTTCCTTTTAATATTAAAGCATTTTTATGTGTTCGCTTAAGGTTGAATCAAGCTCAGCAGAAAAATTAATCAGTCCACGAAATATTCCCGGGTTTTGGGAGCTATGCAACCAATAATGCGTGTAGTTTAGTTAAGTGATTCCTCCATAGATGGACGTTTACAATGATCCTAGTTCGCAAACGTGGAATGACTGTTTGCGCCTCAAAAACTACCTAGTCTGCAAGTTGACATCTAATAGGTTTTTTTTTTGACGTTTTATAGGTTTTTTACATGATACCCGTGCCGAATCTTGCCAAGCCGCGATTAAAATAAACAGTTTAACTGTTTTCATTAAAATGTTTAATTCCTTTAAATGTAGTTTTTCTACATAAGCAAAACTACCTGAACTAATTAAATAGTTTCATAAAACAGGTAGATGGTTTGATATTTTCAAGTAAAGTATATTACTTCCTATCAAACTGGCTTCAGAAGATTGAGTTCAATTAAACAGAATAATTTAGTTACTTAGAGAAATTAAAAAATTATAACGCGTATTGAAAATTTTCCAGAATAACTAATTGAGCACGTTTTCTCAGTTTGAGATCGTGAAAAACAGTTTACGCATTTTACTGAGTACGTGAGGCCCCTGTAAAAGCTGGGGTCCCCGTATCATTGATACGGCGGTAGCTAAGCGCCTGAGAGCACCCAGAATACTTAAATTTTCTAAATATGTCCCAAACTGAGCATGAACATTAATATTCTGTATAATTTAATGATAATTCTTCGACAGGCTGACGAACCCCGTCTGGGCTACAACTACGCCGGGCAGCCGATCTACAGCACCCGCGGTTATCCAAGTAAGAGCCTGCTCTCGGACTTGCTGAACCCTTCTCCCTCCCTTCCTGTATCGGCCGTCACCCGCGACCCCTTCTGGTGGAACTCCCCCCTACGCCCTTACACCTCGCATACCCCATTTGGACGCTCCCCATTCTACCTTAGAGACTCCTACTTATCCCCAGTCAAGAGGACCTACCTGTGGGACAAACATCCGGTCAGGCCGTTCGGTAAGTCCTCCTGCCCAGGTGATGACCCGTCCTTAAAAGAATCCTTTTTTCGGTCTGTTTGAATATTTCGGAGCGCTTATTACTACAGGTACATTTACCCTGAAAACGAAATTTGTCTGACGGCTTGAGTTCAATGCGTACGAGAGAAAAGGGTGTATAGACACATGTGTTAGAGATAGACGCCGGCTGGATAGCGAAGCGCATCACCGCATTGCCTAGCAACGCTAACGCGGCAATACAGGGTGGCGCATCGAAAACGAAACAGATGCATTTACTGGCAGCTCAGTTTTTTTTTTTGAAAAACGCTCAAACCCGTCGATTTTGTTTCCGAGGGGGACACAAGTTTGGCAAAAAATCACGTTAACACGTGCAGCGGGGGTGACACCAACCCTAAAATCTTAAATGGAAAGGGGGGTCGAGTGATACCTTATTTTAAAGGTCTTTCAATTCCCTTTATAATGATGTAAAATACATGAGCTTCAGTTCAGTAGTTTTGAAGATTCATTGATTTAAAGCTTAAAGTTGACTTTAATAGGTACATCAGATTAGTTTCTATTACTTTCAGAAGAAATTTGACTAAAAGAATTTACTTAATAAGTAAATGCATTTCTTCACTACGCCCATGGTTTGTTTATCATTTTGTTGTTGAAAATAGCTATTGGAGCGTTTTTCTGTGGCAAAAAAGTTATTTCTTGAAGAAAGATAAGGAAATAAAAAAAAATAACAAAAATACATATTTCGAAAATTTGGCAAATGAAAATGATTCAAAAAAATTATGGAAGTCTCTCAAACAACTTGATATAAATTTCGTAGTAAACCAACCCTTCCGGCAAGTTTTAATGACCCTACCAAAATTAATGATTATTTTATGTCTGTTTATAGCTATAAACCTGTTGATTCACTAGTTTGCGAAAACTATTTCAAAAATAAATTGAGATCTGAATATATTTTTTCATTGAATAAGATTAGTTCAAATGACGTATTATAGGCAATAGGGAGCCTAAAATCTGATGCGAAGGGAGTTGATGGTATATCCCTGTCAATGATCCAGCTTTGCCTGCCAGTTATTCTCCATCACATCGTCCACATCTTTAACGACTGTTTGGAAAAAGGCTACTTTCCAAACACATGGAAACAAGCTCTAATTATTCCAATTCCTAAAAAAATGAAACCCACTGAGTATAATGATCTCAGACCTATCAGTTTATTACCAATTTTATCCAAAATTTTAGAAAAAATTATTAAGTTCCAATTGACCGCTTACCTAGAAAAATTCTTTATACTTCCCGACACTCAATCCAGTTTTAGAAAAATTTATAGTACATCTGCCCTACTTAATCTGCAAGACAATATTTTAAGTGCCTTAGATAAGAAAATGGCACTAGCCTTAATCTCTATAGACTATTCGAAAGCCTTTTAATCATAAATTATTACTTGCTAAATTAAATTACATAGGTCTTGACAGTGTATCCCTTTCATTTTTCGACAGTTACCTTCATCAAAGAACTCAGTGTGTTTTTCTCAATCAAGAAATGTCTCAAGTGACAAATATTCCCTCAGGCGTACCTCAGGGCTCTGTATTGGGGCCGCTTCTGTTCCTCATATATACGTTCGACTTAAGCAAAAGTATTGATAATTCTCATGTCCAGTCATTTGCAGACGATACGCAATTGCTTCATTATTTTAACCCAGATAATGTTAATAATACTGCTCAAATTTTACAAAACGATGTCAATAAATTAATTAAATACTCTTTAGATCACAATCTACTTATTAATCCACAAAAATCTAAAATGTTATTATTTTGCGCACAAAGAAAAACATACAATGTAACACAGCTCTTGAACATTCAGATAAATAACCAAATCTTGCAATTTTCTGATTCTGCAAAAATTCTTGGTGTTGTTTTTGATACAAAATTAAGGTTTATTGAAGATGTTAAAAGTCTATCTCAGAAAACCTACCTACGGCTGCGCACTCATAGCAAACAGGTATTTACTAAATTTTAAGATGCGTAAAAAACTATGTGAAGCATTGGTCATATCTATACTAAATTATTGTAAAATCGTATACTATACTTGTTTAGACAATTTCACTAAAAACGTTATTCAAGTTATTCAAAACAATTGTATACGATTCATTTTTGGCTTACGTAAATTTGATCATGTATCGGCGAAATATCCCGTTCTAAACTGGTTAAAAATTAATGACATGGTCAAGTATCACTATTCAGTTTTTGTTCACAAATTGCTGCTCACGTCTAAACCTTATTACTTGAAGGAAAAAATTTCATTTAATAATGATGTTCACTGTAGAACTCTCAGAGAAAATAATATTAGAATACCCCTGCACACGTCTACACTTTTTAAACGCAGTTTTTCTTACAATGTTGCTATTATTTATAATGACCTTCCTAAAGTATATAAAGAATTTTCATTACCTGTCTTTCGACAAAAAGTTAAAACATTATTACTCAACCCCCCAAACATATAATTTACGTAATCATTCATTTCTTTTTTATTCCATCTTTAAATCAGATTAATAATTTTTTGGTGCATTTGGGTTTGGAAAGTATGCCTTTTTCTCTTTTTTTTAAATTTTACTTTCGATGTAATGAACCAAATCTGTTTGTGGATAGTGTATTCTTTTGAACATCTGCTAGAGACTATATGGTTAAGTGTAAGAGTAGCAGCATGCTAAACTTCGCCATATAAGTCTAACATTTGGCTATACTACAATGTAATTGTGGATAAATAAAGACGTCTATTATTATTATTATTAAATGTCTCGTGCTTATTTTAAATAGGAATTTAGTACATAGTTTGTTGCTAAAATAACTTGTAACGCTATATTACATAAATTAACCAAGGTATATTCCACAGTAGAAAGAGTTGAAATTATCGAAATATTTTTCGGAAATACTCAGTGCGCTAATAGAACAGCAGAAATATTTAATGAGCGACATGAGAACAGTAACGTGCATCGAAAATATGTTCTAGAACTTGTAGCTAAATTTCTGGAAACTTGGTCAGTCGCCAATAAAAACCGCAACATTGAAAATCCCATAAGGAACGAAGCAAGAGAAGTGGGGGTTTTAGGGTTGTTTATGTAGATCCTACGTTAAGTACCCGCAAATTTTAGACTGTGTGTGGTGTTAGTCGACGTACTGTCCAACGGATTCTAAAGGCCCATAGATTTCATCCGTATAAAATTCACCTGGTACAAGAACTTAATGAAGACGATTTTGATCGGCGATTACAATTGTTTAAAGATATGAGTGAACGAATTATACACGATGAACATTTTCTATTCAACACTTGCTTTTCCGACGAATGTTCCTTTTTCTTAAATGGCGTAGTAAATCGTCATAACTGCCGAATATTGGTCCGATTCTAATCCCGCTTAGGGGGCTGCACGTGCTAACGTGATTTTTTGCCAAACCTGTGTTCCCCTCCAAAACAAAATCGACGGGTCTGAGCGTTTTATAAAAAAAAACTGAGCTGCTAGTAAATGCGTCTGTTTCGTTTTCGATGCGCCACCCTGTATGTTACACCAGTTCCTTGAATCAAGGTGCATGCTGAAAATATACGTTCGTTTATTCTCTACGCCCAAATAATGGTTTTAACTTGGGCGTACGTACGTACACATTTTCACTAAAATTAGTATTTCAAAACATAAAATTCGACGAAAAAAATTTATAATGTTTTTATGCGCTCTAAATAACTCTATATTTATCAAGACAAAAAGTTGTCCATTTGCGGTTTTTAAAGGATTGTGAAGAAGCTCATATCTAATTCCAGTCATTTGTATAAGAATATTTTTTTTATTTTTATGAACAGTTTATTTAACGCTCATATATAATTTTAAATCACGTTTTCTCCTGTAATGGCTAAATACTAAGATGAAGCTTTTATGAAGCCTCATATCATCTTTTTTCTGTTTCTATACTCTATTCAAACCTTGTAAATTCTAGTTCCCTTATTTTCCACTGGGAGGCACACCTTTCCTAAGTTACCACCAAGTCCTCACAAAACCCTCAATTTTTTCAAGGACATCTACAAAGTCGGTAATGTGTTGTTTTTGCACACGTGCCATTAGATTTTTTTTTTGTTTTTTCTTTTAGTTGTTTTTGTACCCCTATCGTAGTTGTTTCTCATTTACATTACACATTTTTATAACTCTAACCATCGCCATATGTACATAAATACAAACGTGCATTTGCCTACCTTCATTTGTTATTGACAAAGAACCGCACGAAACTCCATAGACGTACAATTGTTGATGTGTATTTTTGAAATAGATTGAATGCTTTTGATGTATACATGTCTTTTCTATAGTTTGATGTAGTTCTCTTTCCAAAACTAAATGTAAAATGTTCATCTAATATTTTCTATTAATGTTTACGTAACTTAAATATCTTTTCAAAATTGGCTTGGTCTGTGCATGTCAGATCTACTGTAGATTCAGCGGGTGCTGAACCGAAATTTATGCATTTCCAAAATCAAGTTCCATTTGTCAAAATTTCAACATGCCTCACAGTGAACTGACGTCAAAGGATGTTTGGAAATAATTTGTATTTGACAGTTTAAAACAGATCACCGCTAGCCAAAAAAAAAGATACAGACGTAGTGCTTCTAACTATAAATAAGGTTTCGAATTTGTATAAGTAGGTAACCTTCTATGTTCCATCAAGATATTGGATGAACTTTTTACAATTTTATTTCCCTAAATTGATGATGTTACAATTGGACAATTATGCCATCAAATCTCAGCGTATTGGAATCGTATACTAATCCCGTGTAAATAACATGGTTTCAATTATCATATGACACTAAATTTTGTCATCAAATCGTAACGTCACCAATTCATTCATTACAGATGTTTACACAACCATTACCAAATGACTATCCGCTACTACTGCTGCAATTAGTGTCCTCCAGATCGTTCAAATTTTTCGATCAAATCGGAAAGTAGTAGTCGACAGTATAGTTACGTAAATCGCAGATCTCATGTTAGTCTAATCATATTAGCAAATTTCTCCGAAGTAATTATAAAGTTTAGTTTTACTGATGCAAGTTGTTCAAGTGGTATTTAAAGCATGGAATAATAAAATGGGCACACTAATTTTTGTGGGAAAACTTTTTATTCGACAACAAAGAATTAGAAAACGTGTTTTTTGGGATTCAATCGAAAGCGTTGACAGGAAGGTAAAAACTTTTCATATAATATTTTTAGGTATTTATGTCTCAAAAACGAGGCAAAATGCATGTTTTGGCACTTGGTAATGCGACAATAATTTCACGCAACTACTTGAAATTCGACAAATCCTTAGGATTCTTACTTCTAAATAACAACAAAATTGGAGTATATTGGTCAAGTAGTTTTTGAGAATTATTGTTTATTCGAAAACACCTGTTTTCCGGCCATCACTACCAGTTTATTGGGTGTTCAAGGGCATTTTATAGCAAAATATAGGTACGAGTTTACCTTTCCGATATGAATCAAAAACCATTCCGAAAGATAAATGTTATTTTCATGCGAAAAACGAAGGAAGATAAACCAAAATATGTGTGTAAAGATAAAAAAAATAAAAAAAAATTTTACCTTGTTTTATAAAGTATCCTCCCGACAAGTATTTCAGTGCGGACCTGTATTTGATCGTGAGGTCCCCTGTGAGGTCTTAAGTCACCTGATTCACGAGCCCGTTGTACTACATTAACAAAGGCACGAGGGGTTGGTTGCACTCGATTGGGAAACCGATCCGCATAAACATGTGCCATTTTTTATTTCGTTTGAGCCACGCAACAGACACTATTCACACGCGTTACCGACTGTATGTATAACTGAACTGAATAAAATAATTGTAAAAACATCGTTCCAAATTCTTTCACTTTTTTGTTTCCGATGCGATGAACCGATAAGGCGGATTATATCCGTTGTTGCCAAACACGAGCACATGATATTATTATTGAGACAGGGCGGTACTCAAACTTCCAAAGGGCTATAACTTTGTTACTTCAATTTTACCAGAAAAATGGTAAAGGAAAAAACATTTCTTTTGATCAGATCTACTCACTGTTAAAATAAATGACTCAACTTCGAAGTCACCCTGTATATTCATATTTATAGCTGAAAGTTTATAAAAAAAAATATTTCATACTGAAATGAACTGAACTGTTTATAAAGTTAGCACGCCTAGTTAGTATGTAGCATGTGCTTAATGGCTACATTATTTTCGGATAATTCTACGGGTGGTCTCATTTTGTAGGTCTCGTGAATCCCTAAAAATCTTATTTGAAGAGTTTTTTCGTTCCTGCCAACACTTTCCATTGAATCCATTCTTTATTGTCGAATAAATTTTTCCCACAAAGGTTGGTGTACCCATTTCATGCGTCAAGTTTCAAATACCCCTTGAACAACTTGCATAAAAAACAAACAAACTTTACAATTATTTCGCAAACCAGGGGTATTTTCGTCTAATTTGATTGGACTATAATAACACCATCTACCCTGAAAACCCTGTAATTCAAAATGGCAAGTCAAGATAGCATTTGATGCAACATATACAGGGGCTTCCAAGGCAGATGACTCTATTACTACATTTCGACTCTCAACTAAAATAATTATCCATTATCGAACTTTGTGCCCATAAAGACTTCTAATCAAAAGGTCATAGTGTACACAACATACTGCAAATCCTTGATCAAATCAATCCAATGGAATGATTCTATTACATGAAAGGCTAATAGTTGTGTAAACTAACTGTAATCTGTAAGTGTTTTTGATGTCATGTCAGACAGTAACTGGACTCTATGCTTTTGGTTTTATCAAGCAGACTGTTTCCAAGTAAATCATAGCAAACGTTGCTGTCAAGCGCAAAAGTCCTACTAGTTACCTCTCGATTTTCAACCAATTGCAGTGGTACGTATCTAAAGCTGTTTTAAGGTTCGCAACCACCACAGCTGGTTGTTAAATGAGTTGCAATTGTAGCTATGTAGTACGAGTCAGTTTTGAAACAAATTAATCTGTAGCAATTCGCAATAAAGAAAAAGTGGATGGGCCCTAGGTATTGTCTGAGGATTTAATCAATGATCTAATCATACTATAATGATGCTTTTTCTTTTTACAGCTGCTGTCTACTAAGTGGCATTAGATCGAAACCAACACGAACGGTATGAAACACTAATGCGACTGAAACTGACCAAGATGAAGAATCCACAACATCTAACTTGCGTTTCAACTCTCAAACCGTGTTCATTTTATTTATTTATCTTATTTACGTACACACACGCTATTTCGAAATTGAAAAGTGCCTTAGATTGTACAAGAAACGAAATAAAACCGAACTTCTTCTTTTGTAATATTTTAAGTACATTCTGGAGTCGATTGTATTTAAATAAGCGTGTCTCGTCATTCCAACGATATATTTTGTATCGACCTAGAATGTACAAGTTTTGTTACCAATGTTATAGCCCAATATATAAATAAACAAACATGAACTAATTTCTGCGTTATTTCTGTTGCCCCGTATCCCTTCTTATCCACGGAAATGCTCGTTCATTCGATGTATCATGAAAGCAAAACTTTCTCATTAAGTTGAAAATTGATACTGACCTCGAATACGCCAGTATAAATAACATAACAAAACTCTTTATATGCCCGGAACATTGTTTTATCCGAGTTAAAATGTCAAAAATCTCAAATTCTGTCATATTTCTCTAAAAGATATACCACAAAATTACCTTATAAAAGAGTTGCACAGAATACAATTATCTATAAAAGTTGTTCAAGTACTTCTGTTCCTTTAGTCACCATTTTCGATATCTAGTGATATATGTTTACTATCAGGTACTTTTATACAGAGAAAACCAGATTTGTCTCACGGCTCGAGTTCAATGTGTACGAGAGGGAAGCGAGAAAGGCACATATGTTAGAAAGAGATAGAAGCCGACTAAACAGCGAAGGTCATCACCACACTGCCTAGCGACGGTGACGCAGAAGGTCGTGTAATATCTGCCGCGTTGCCAATATGTTAGGTTACTGTCAAACCCAAGATACAGATCTGTTCGAACATTTAATATTTTGTTTTCATTTTGATCACAATTATTTATTTCAATTCTGATGGCATATATGGTTATTTGTTCGTACAGTAGTCGGCGACTTGTCGAAAACTGTGTCAGATATCCGGCCGTGTGAATTTCGTCTATATAGCATAGCAGAGTGAACGAAATTTGTGGCGAAATCTTGGCCATGATCACTGACAAGTTGGTGACAGTTGTACGAACAGGGCTTTAGTGTTTTCATATATTTTAGAATGATCTTTGATTTCCAACGATGGTGAGAAAATCAAGACATCCTGAGCTTGTGTCACTTTGAAGCAGGGAGTGGTCGGAAAATCACAATAGAAATTATCACTACCTGCGTCTACAAAGGATGTCACTCCCCAATGAGCGTTAGATGAGTACTGACCAAAATCGCTCATATATGATCATGAAGGTGGAAACCTTGCCATGCAATATACAAGATGCGGTGTTGCCAAGCGAATCAATGATGCAATGTTGCAGAATTTGTGGCGACCCTGACCTTTCATTTCTAGCTAAAATGGAGCGCCGTTAGAACCGATCCAGAATCGATCGTAAACAGATTCTACTATACTATACTCTCTATACACACTTCGCTCTCGTAGACATTGAACTCAAGCCTCAGTGTATATGTGGCAGGATTGATGTATGCGGCTTATACTAAAATACATACCATTTATACAGGGTGCGTCGAAAAAAGGTTCAATGACTTTTTTGAGAATTCATTACACTTGCAACCAAAAGGTTTGTATACAAAACAATTGAATGAGAAATGATTAGAAATTCAAAAAAAATGTTAATAATATCGATACGTACAATTCAAACGCATCCAAAGTGCGCTCTAAATGAATGGAAGGCAAGCGTATTTTCTAAAAGAATTGATACACTCAAAAATTGCTTCCGGCCTTCAATATGTTATTAAAATTAATATACTTAAGGACCGAACAATGCCTCGTTAGGAATCCTCATTCTTTCATAAGTTCTTCATATACAGGGTATCCAGTGGGAAAGTTCACTTTTTGATTTAAAAAAAAATGCAAACTTCAGCACAAACTGCCGTAATACGTAATCACTTTCCTTTGAAGCATGGACCGATTGGTTTTTATAACGATGAAAACCCATTTTTTCTTCATTATGTCATGCAGTATTGACCTAGGGATTCCCAAAGCAGCTGAATGCTTACGTACAGAACGCCGAGGATTTACAATGACCGAATTACATACTCGCCACACATTTTCTTCGGTTGATACGGTAGGTGTGGGGGCCACGAATGGGTTGACTAAGAATAGAGCCAGTTTCTCGGAACATCTAAATCCACTTTCAATAGGGCATCTCTTGGTCGGCAAATGTATCGTGTACACAATGTCCGAAGGACAGCTGTGTATGAATCACCGCTCTTAAAGTAAGCCTCGATAGCAAACGCACGTTGCGCTCCGGTCCAACGTTCCATTGTGACTATTTAACCCACACGCCGAACGCGTCGATCAAGAACTCTTAAAAAACATATCAAACAATTGATTTTAGAAAAGTACTCACCTGCATACTTCGCAAAATGTTTCCTTTTATGTGTACATTCATAGGTATGATTAAATTTTCTTTATTTACTTTTAGTATACTCGTACTTACATAGGTATATTACTTTTAGGTATTTATCATAGTTGTATTTTTTGTATTTTCAAGGGATAACTGACAGAATAGCTTCAAGCTAAAATTCGCGCTTTAGTAAAAGACGTTTATTATTATCGTCCTTGGAGCGCGAAATTACACTGGACAACAAATTTTAGTTTTTTAATTGTATCTTGTGGGAAAAGTGCACTTCTTTGTTAATTTTGGGGCGCTGAATCCAAAAATGACAATGAAATAAAAAAATTAGTTGCGGTTTAGAAAAAAAACTTTTTATTTTTAAGGATATATTAAAAAAAGTAACAAGATTCGTATACTTATAAGAATCACTATATGCGCTGTCTTTTTGCTGTTCTTTTATGGATCGTTTCTGGAGCATCTCAACCAAGAGTCCAACAGTAGTCTGCAAGCATGGAAGGATTCCACTTTCAGTGGTACCTTTTTTCCATTGTTGAAATATCCTGATGAAAACGTTCGCCGTGCTCATCACTTACGGCTCCGCAATTGTCAGGAAAAAAGTCCAGGTGTGAGTGTAGGAAATGTATCTTAAGAGACATATTACAGCCCATCTTTTGATACGATGACAGCATATTTTTGACAAGGGTTTTACAGTTGTCAGCTTTTCTATTTCCCAAGAAATTAGTGACCACCAGACGGAAATCATTCCAAGCAGTTTTTCAATACCTGTTAAAGTGTTTTCAAACTGTGTATCTTTCAAAATATTTCGAATCTGTGGAACAACAAACATACCTTCTTTAACCTTTGCCTCACTTAGTCTTGGAAATTTCTGACGCAGGTATTGAAAAGCTGACCCATCTCTATCTAATGCCTTGACAAAGTTTTTCATTAGGCCCAACTTGATATGCAGTGATGGTAATAAATTTTTTTTCGAATCTACTAATGGCATATATGCTGTACATTTTTTTGACCTGGCTCTAGGAATTGACGAACAGGCCAGTTTTGTCTGGTGTAATGAAGTGCCTTTGCCCGACTGTCCCATTCACACAAAAAACAGCAAAACTTTGTGTAGCCTAGCTGCAGCCCAAGTAAAAGTGCAACAACTTTCAAATCGCCACAAATATGCCATTGGTGCTCATCGTATTATATTATGCATGTCAATAGGTACTTCATATTGTCATGATTCTTTCATGTGAACTGCATACCCTACAGGAAGAGATGGTAAAATATTTCCAATATGCAATAACGCTGCCTTTAAACTCAATGTTGAACTGTCTATAAACAATCTCCATTCTTCTGGGTTATAGTTTATATTCAAAGCCGCCAGTAAGCCGTTAATGTTACTGCAGAAAACCAAGTTATTCTCCATATTGAAAAATGGTTCTAAGTCTTTGTGGCGTTTACGAAAAACACATACCGAAACATCGTCTTCTAACAAGTTCCACTGCTGCAGTCTTGATCCAAGTAACTCTGCCTTACATTTTGGAAGTTCTAAATCTCGTACAAGATCATTTAATTCTGACTGTGTTATTTTGTGCGGTTGGTGGCATGACGTGCTCGGTATAAAATCAGGATCTCTTGACGTTGATGGCATATCTTCTGCCTGACGAATCACTCGATCATCATGATCTCATTCGTTTTCTGATTCGCAAGTGTAGGATTCTGGGGGTTTTGGAATAGGATTTTCGTCACTGTGAGGCACAGGTCTCATCGCAGATGGTATGTTTGGGTAGTTAATAACCGATTTTTTTTTCTTGGACATACCTGTGGCTTGTCCAACACAAGGTACCATGCAAAAGTAACAATCATTAATATGATTTGTAGGCTCTCTCCAAACCATTGGGACAGCAAAGCGCATAGACCGTTTTTTGCCATTTAGCCAGCTCCTCAGACTTGAAGCACATGTATTACAGCAGATGTGGGGTGCCCACTGTTTGTCTTGATCACCTAGTTCACAATCGAAATAAAGCTGATATGCCTTTGTTATTAGTGGAGTAATAGACCGTCTCCGAGACGCAAAAGTCACATCACCACACACGTAACAAAACTGATCTGAATTGTTTACACACTTTCGAGACATCTTGCATGAACGCTGTCAGCCAACTGAGGAAAAACACAATCATGCCGATTACATCATCTTTTCTTGCCGAATATAAAAATGTAGCACGTGCATTCTTGTGAATTACAGTATATTAACACTGTCACAGCAGGAACACATATAATTACCGTATCTGTAAAACTTGAACTAATATTGAAAAAATAAGTTTCATTCCGGTTTTAGCACATTAAAAATAGTAATATTTTGTTGATTTTATTTAGGATATTTTTTGGCTGTTGATCAGTGTTATCTATTGGAGGTTACAACTCAAAATTACCATTTCTGATATTTCTCTGGAACGGTACGAGGGAAAATAGTTTACAACAAAATTGTAGAGCATGCAATTCTCTATACATGCCTTGTACGAGCCGTAGCAGCAGGTTAGATCCCATAAATCAAAGAACCCATAAACAGCGACTCACAAAAATGCAATTGGCTAAGTTTCATACAGAATTGCATGCTCTACAATTTTTAATGAAAAACATCTATTTTTAATTTTCCTCAAATACATATTGCGGAGAAGTAAAGTAGGGGATATAAAAAATTGAAAAATTTAAATTAATTCATTTTTGCATTAGTGTTGGATAAAAATGTTCATTACAAAAGTAACTATTGCATTGCACTTTGAATATTACATTTCTTTCACCGAAACCAATCTCCTTCACACTGATGCGAAATGAATGACCTAAGGTTTGTCCGGAAGATACGTATAAAAGTGGAATAATAACTTTATTTTACAATTATTCAGGTATTTCAATATGGTCTCCTGAGACAAGATGCGCTTCTGCCAAAGCCGTTTCCACTGTTGATACGACCGCTAAAAGTCTTCAATTGTGAGGTTCATCAGTTGCCGTGCGGTTTCTGCCTTGGCGTCCACGTCCAAATGCCGCACCTGAAGCACCATTTTGCATTTAGGCAACAGGAATAAGTCGCAATGGGCTAGATAGCGTGAATGAGGCGGGTGTTATGTCACAGTGATTGAGCTTCGGGCCAGAAACTCGCGCACAACGAGAGACGTGTGAGCAGGCGCGTTGTCGTGATGAAGGATCCACCTGTTCCCTCGTGCCAAATCCGGTCGAACGCGTGCCACACGAACTCTGAGACGACGCAAAACTTCAATGCAGAAATTTCCGTTCACTGTCTGGCGAGGGAGGGACAAATTCGTGATGAACAATGCCCCGAGAATCAAAGAAAACAATCAAAATTGTTTTCACATTGGACCTTGATTTTTTTCGACTTTTTTGTTCTCGGTTCCGCTGCTTGCTTCCATGCTTTGAGATTTCAGCTAGTCATCGAATTCGTAGAACCAAGACTCGTCTCCAGTGATGACCCGGTTGAGAAAATCCCCCCTTTCCTCTGCTTCCAACCAATCCTCGCAGCAAGCAACCCTCCTTGCTTTCTGCTCTGGAGTCGACAGCTTCGCAACGATTTTCGCGTACAACTTTTTCATTTCAAGTTTTTCCGCCTGAATTTCGAGGACGATTAATTTGGCGATCGACAGTTCCTCAGTTATCATGCTAAATGTCAATCGACGGACTTTAAGAACACAGCTCCGAATTCGTTCAACATTCCCTCAGAGGTCGATGTGGAGGGGCGTTCTGAGCGTTCGTCATCTTTCACTTCTCGACCTTCCCGAAACCCTTTCAACCACTTGTTGACGGTTGATTTCTGCGGAGAATTGTCTCCGTAGACTTGTTACAAACTCTCAAAGATCTCACGACCATTCTTTCCTTACTTTGTAAGAAACTTGATGATGCTGTTCCTCGATGAGAGAGGGCTCCAAACCGACGGCAGGTAAAAAAAGCGTTCCTTTCAACAAGCACACGTAAATCCTAATTACTCGCTGAGCACTCCGTCTCGAACTGAGCATAGAGAGATGTATTTTTCGGATAAACCTCGTATACTGTACACTGCTTCCAAGCGAGCGGAACCGCGGGTCTAGACTAGTTAGTTACACAGCTTTGTCAGAAAAGGTTAGGCAGAAAACTCTAAATAAAACCACCAGCTCTTTGTTGCAGTTATATTATTAGACAAAAGTACACATGATAAACATAAAGTAAAAAACCTAATTTTCCAATCTGAGTAAAAACAACTATACATCGCTTCGATAGCTTCAAAACGAAATCTGGACAAATTGCATCAATCCATCCCGCACATTATCTATTACTCATTTCTTCTTAACGAACATTTTTCTAACATTCATAACATTCGTGCTGCTGCACCTCTCACACATGAAATCCAATTTTAATCACTGATAAAATCTCAGACTACAGTTTTATGTCCAGATTTTGATATATATGTATATATAAATATTGACTACCTTATAGTACAAATACTTATACTATAAAAAATGTTGATGATACATCTGAAAAAAAAATGAATGAATTAGGGCAATAATGTAAGAGATATTAAAACAGACAGGGTGCTCTTAAGGTTTGGGATTTTCTTTACAAATTAAACAGTTCTTGTAGCAATAAGCAAACTTTCCTAGTAATACGAGGATCATATGCTTCGCCCTTCACATCTTTCATGACAGTAATAGTGATCTCAGTAGGCTACAGCGACAAAATATGTCACACCATTTTGACAGACATTGTGGTGATTAGAGGATGAGCGATTCTTATAACATAGTCAAACGATTGTTACAAGATTCTAAGCGTGGAAAGACATCTTATGAAAACAGGGTGATTCACAAGTCGCGACCAAAAATTAAACATCATACACAGTGCCGCATTTTAAGGGGGGTCTTCGTAGTAACATTTTTTCCGCGAAATTATTTTATAACCATCATGTGACAGGGTGATACTTACAATTGTTTTAAAAAACGATGTGCATCTCAATATTTTTCTTCTGTATTACTACGCGTTGTCTATGGTACTTCAAGCGTCGTTATTCATCAAAAGCAAACCCAAGTTTTAAAACACTCTGAATTTTCGAATGTTTCATCAAAGAAGAAAACGATGCTGAGCTTTTAATAATCAAAACAGTAACATTTATAAAGATCTACTGGCATTATGATAAGGGTAGTGTTGACAATTAGATGTTTAACTCACCAAGCCTTAAAAACCAGTCGAGGTTGTCTTATACTTGCTTCTTCTCCGTTTCTAGTCGTACTTAAGGAACCCTTTGTCTTGGTTCTGAGGTGGCGGCCTCGGCCACTGGCCTCCATCCTGACTGTTCTGTCCGCCTTGATTCATCCAGTTCAGAAAACCCGGATTGTTTCCACCTTGATTTCCGTTTTGATTATTCCCTGGCCCTGAGAAAAATATAGCCTTCAGCTTTTGTATTGGTTGAAATTGTCAAAAATATCCAAGCAACACTCCGTAAAAGAACCACCATCTTTTAAACACCGCGGCTGCTATAAGAAGCTTAAAGAAACTTTGTTTATCCAATTTTGGAACTATCTACGGTTAAATAGAACTGGTAAAATCCTCCTGAAGTAGATTGTTCAACAATGTCGATACCCTATGGGCAAAGGAGCGGTCAGTAGAATGGGAGGCCGAAGACAGTCGGGTCTGTCAGGCAGGTATATCGCGCCGCGGCATCATTCAGCAGAGATCCGAGAAGCAAAAAGCCCATTGCGAAAGGGTCCCGAGACTGTCTGTTAGAGAAGAGTCATCGATCAGTCGGACAACCCTCCTCTGGACAGCATCGAGCATACATAATGTAGTCTGCGCGACAGCACCCCAAACGCGTAAGCAATACTCGTGTAGACATCATGTAGACAAATGTCACGTTTTGACGCGTTGTACCGTGGCGAATACAGAGTCACAAAAGGTTATAAACGGAAACATACACCCTATTTCACAAGTACCCATCATGTTTTGACGTCTACTAATGCGAACAGCCTGATCAGCAACTGACATATTTGTACTTGTAACGTTGGCAATAATTAATCTATAATGAATCTAGTAAAAATTGATAGTAGTTTCTTTTTGTATGCAAATGAACTTTTTTTAAATAAAAAGAGTTGTTAGCAAGTACAAAATGAATCTGTAGCGTACAAAAAAAAACAAAATATGGATATGTCTACCTTGCGTTGACGGATCACTCAGAATTATGTGTCTTTTGTTGACATTTAGAATTCTGAAATAGTACTAGATAATCAGCTGTTATTCTACCATAATAAAGACAATATGTTGAAAAATGTGAATTCGACAGATTATACATTAGCGGCTAAAAGTTTAGAAAACAAATATGAACATTATTATGAAGTATTTCGTATAGCTAAATTAAAATCGTGAAGGAACAAATATTAAAGTCCACCTTTGTCTCCGGTACTAATACAAGGTTTATCTTATCAATATTCAAATTCTCTGAAAATAAAAACACGCAATTTTTTAAATACCACAGTTTTTGTAACGGCAAAAGTATGGAAACATTTTAGTTTTGCCGTATTTATTCGTTCTGGGATACTCTGATATTGCATGCGATAAATATTAACCGCAGTGAAAATGGCAAAAGTGAAAGATTTAAGTTACAAAGTAATTAAATTATTTAGAAGTGGTGTCAGAAATGTTGACATTTCTCAAAGATTAAAAAATTAACAAATTGATGATTTCGAATATTATTAGTAAATATCAAGAATACGGATCAACAGCAACGCGGCCCCCAGGTGCGGAAAACCGAAAAAACCGATTATGTTTTGAATCGCTACATTAAACGTTTGTCCCATGAAGGTCCTCCAATGCCAGCCACACATTTTCAAAAGAATCATAGAAGAGGGTGCCGAGACTCTTTCTGTCAGAACAGTGCAGAGGCGCTTGGTGGATTTTGGGCTCTGTGGTAGGCGTCCAATGCAAGAGCCTCTCATTTAAAAAAAATCATAGTGCTCGGCTTGAATCTGCTAAAACAGAACAACAACAGAATAGTTTTATGGAGCGATGAAAGTAGATTTAACTTGTTTGGATCTGACGGTATGGCATATGTGAGACGTCCAATACGAAAAAGATTCGACAAAAAGTATCAGTTGTCAACAGTTAAGCACCGTGGAGGCAACAAGGCAACATCATGGTTTGGGGCTGTTTTCTAGTTCTGGAACAGGTTCAATTGTTAAAATTGTTGGCAAAATGGATCAAAAACTTTACAAAGATATTCTTAGTGAACACACGCTGCCTTTTGCTGAAGAAGAAATGCCTTTACGATGGAATTCCAGCAAGATAATGACCCCAAGCATACCTCAAAATTCGTAAAGGACTGATTAAGACTAAAAATTGTTAATGTGCTTACAGTGCCTTCGCAATCCCCGGACCTAAACCCTATAGCACATCTCTGGAAGCATGTTAAAAGACAACTGATTATGTAAAACAATTTTGGCAAATATCCCAACAGACGTCAGTAAAAAATTGTTTTCCATGAACAGCAGATGTCAGGCAGTGTTGAATGTTAAAAGCTGCCAAATATTAGCTAAACAGTTGTTTAAATCTTTTTGTAGATTTTCCGTACTTTTGTCGTCTCATTTTTGGTCATAAAATAATATGAAGGTATTTTAATGCTAGTCTGTAGCAGTACAGCAAACACAAACAATCATTCGTATCCTCAAAACTGCAAGCAAACTATATGAGAAAAAAATAGTCCTTGATAATAAAGAATAAAAAATTGGCGCACTTTTTAAAAATTACTAAGAATGTTTCCAAACTTCTATCCTCAACTTTACATACAACTTGAACATTCCAATAGACATAGGTGAGAAAAGACTAAGGCTCAATTTCACCAACAACAGTCCATTATTCTCCACCTCCTCATTCTCCAAATTTTAGCAACCAATAGGTATGAAATGTTGAAAAAAAAATACTGTCAAAGTATGAGATGACAACTTGTCATTTAAACATCACCAGCTTATTGAATATTAAGAAATTACATATAATTCAGTCAAAATTTTAAGAAACGTTTAATTACTATTGTTGATTTTTTATTCATGTTTATATTATTTTCTTCAATTGATATGTGATACTGGGTGTTTTTTCCTATAAACCTCTTGCAGATGGCCATTAAGCACCTACTTGATGACAGGCTCTACCAAAAGATATTGCTCGTTTCCAAACATTCTTTCATTTACTTGCCGTTCATCAGAACCATTATGGCACCTTAAATTGATGTTCCCACAAAACCATTCAGGTTTTTTGATATCCATACATCCATAAAGTTGAATATTTTTCGTTGTTCAGGAACTGAACAAACATCCACACTATATTCACAGCGATTAATAAATTCCCAAATATATGCCTTAAAGCTACTAGCAAACCTATAAAACCTGCAAGAAAAACTACAAATTTGCCATAGTTTTCTTTTTTCACGAGTATACATTCTAGGTTATATTTATATTAGACATTATTTAAATACAGCTGATTATTGCATTTCAAGGAGTGACACATATGTGGGATCTGTAAACTCTTGGTACCAGTCACAGAACATATACTCTGAAGGTTTAATTCCAATGCTATTCAATCACAACACCGTGACTTGTGTGGTTGTCAGCGGCCATTTTGTAAGGGTGCGACAGGGTTGCCAGATTGTGCATTAATATCCCGTTTCACCCTCCTGGTCCCAGTGTAGTAAGTTCCGCCAACTGTTGAAATATACTCTACTATGCTTTATAAGACTATTCGTGACATTTTTCCCAAAATCATTGCACAACACTTGGAAAAAATGCAAATGAAAATTTAAAATTATTTCCTTGACGCCGCAATATAGCTCCGTCGGTACCTTGGGTTATACATCTTGACAGTAGGGATGTTCGATACGATCCTATATTTAGAAGTATCAATACATTTCACGAGTATCGTCATCTTTCGATCCGGACTGGTCAGAAAAAGTGACTGCCATTTGGCTGCGACATTACCCTGCCAAATCAGACATATCTTTCATCATTTTCAAAGAAATTGTACAAAATCTTCAAATTTGTGAAGTTAGCGAGTTTCACTTCATACGTTATTACCAGACATGCCCAAATCATGAGTTGCTGCCGTGATATTCATCCCGACCACTGCATTCCCACGGCTACGTGACCTGTATGTTAAATTTGTATTGATAGGGCAGCGGGTTATGCTATAAATCATACCTATCTCACAGTGTTTGTGCACTGATTGCAACGGTTAGATGATACCAAAAATATGTTCATAAATAGGAGATCTTTCCCATTCCGGATCGAACAATCTACCAAAGATGCTTATAATCATGATACCTAGTAAATTTTCACGAAAAAAATTCAAAACCAGCAAATGTAACGTACCCTCCACCACGGGACGTGATCGTCGTTAGATTTGGCAACCCTGCCAGTGTCAGATAGATATCCCCGCCAGTCAAAAAAGAAAAATAGACAAACAATAAACATTACTAGTTTTTTTGATTTTTGGACTTAAAAGCCATTATCTGTGAAACATTTTTCATAATTTTTTGTCTATGTCCATAGTAATTGCATTATGCATCAGGGAGATGTAGGGATTGACACGTCTTACACATATTATCTGTGTTTTAGGATGGAGAGGACAATGTTTTTATTGCTTTGAAGAAATTCATTAACCCATAAATTAATAAATAATTACTATTATGACGTAAAGGAAGATGAGGAATTGGATGGAATGTATTTTATATTCTATTTTCTTGCAAATTACAGACAAATCCACACTATTCAACAGGTATGTAATGATAACTTTCAGTATATTGAAGTTGGTAAATTCAAGAGTGCCATGCATTAACAAACGTGCAAATCTGCTGCCAAATTTAACAGCTAGAAAATCGACCTACTATTTGCCGCATTCCCATTCGATGAGGGGGATAACGGATTGTTAAATGTAAACCTAACCCGAGAGTGGCGAGAGTGGCAACGTGGTATGGAGCTATGCGGTATAGCCTGTTAGGATTATTCGGATTTTCGCTATTTCTAAGTTAATAAATTTTTCGAAAAGTGCATCTGTGAACATCTGGACGTGTGGTGATCAGTTTGGATATAAAGATTGCCTATATTTGCATTCTCAAAAGTGTATACAGTACGGTCGGGTTCTGGAATGCGGCGTGAACAGTGAGCGCCGTTGTCACGTTGTAACAAGATTCCGGTTACCATGAGCTATTCCGGTGGAGAAACAAAACGGACAACTTCACGTTCGGTTAGCAGTTCATGTGAATGTGCTGGTTTGGCTCAGATATTATCTGACGTCAAAAAGAAACTGGATGCTTGCTATAAAATAATTAATGGTCAAAACTCAAAAATAGAAGAGCTCACTACAACCGTTGCTGATTTATGTAAAAAACTGGAGGAGAATGAGAAGAATAGAGAAACAAACATGGTCGTTGGTGAGCCCAAGGTTTCTTACAGCAATGCTGTAAAGGGAAACACGAGTAGAGGTCATGTATTGCTGGTGAAGCCTAACAGTAACATCGATGTAGCATCCTTGAAGCAGAAACTGCTGAGTAAGGTAAATCCTGAAAGTCTTCAAGTCGGTGTGCAAATCAATAAAGCTAATAATAACGGTGACATTGTTCTGAAGTGCGATAACCAACGGTCGTTAGAAATAATTAAGAAATCGATTGAAACTAATTTGTCAGGCAATTGCTCTGTTCAACTGCCAAAAAAGCGAAATCCTCGAATTAGAGTGATAGGTGTTAACAAAGATCAGTATGATGTTGATTCTCAAGTTCTTAAAAGCAAAATTGTGAATCAAAATAGCAGGCTCGTCAGCCATGATTACGCTGTTCTTAATATAGTATATAAGTTTCCAATTAAAGGTGCAAAATTTGATCTTGTTATGGAGCTAGATCCTAAGTCATATCAGTCAGTGATAGGGGAAGGGAAGTTGAATATTGGATGGGATAGATGTCGTATTTATGAGCATTTGTCAGTGACACGCTGTTTTAAGTGTTGTCAGTATGGCCATATACAAAAAAATTGTAAAAATGCATTTGTATGTCCTATTTGTGCTGGCAGTCATGAACGGAATCAGTGTAAAAGCAAATCGTCATGCTGTGCAAACTGTCTGTCTATTAATGAAAAACAAGATAAAACGCTAGATACGAACCATGCTGTGTGGGATAGTAATTGTCTGTGTTTGCAAAAACATGAGGGTCTTATACGAAGTAAGACAAATTACTTCGAATAGATAAGTGCATTTTATCTAATCTCTGTTTTAATTTTTACTGGAAGTTTATCCCATCTCAACTTCAACTCAACTTCAACTTTATCTCAAACTTTTTAAAAAACTTTTCATTTTTTATCCTTTTATCTTTTATTAATCTGTTTTTTGTGTTTTTTTTTGCTGTATTTATAAATGACTGTATTATCAGAATTTGATGTCATCGAAGGCGGAGAGCATAATTTGATCATAGGATGTGTAAATATTAGATCACTTACTAGCTGTTTTTGTGATGTTAAAGATTATGTGTTGTCGCAAAATTTTGATATCATCGGATTCACCGAAACGTGGCTCAAACCACACATCACTGATAATGATATCCATGTTCCAGGATTTCAGTTGTTTAGATGTGACAGGAAAGATAGGAGAGGCGGTGGAGTCGCTCTCTATGTGAGAAAAGGACTGCATTGCTTCCAAGTATCTGATTTTAACTTTGCAACACAAGAGGGCCTTGAACAACTTTGGGTTAGGGTTAAAATAAACAAAAAAGCATTTGCTGTGGGTGTTGTGTACAAACCTCCCAATGTTGATTATACAGCTTTGACAGGCCTGGAAGACTCACTACTTACTGTTTTCACATCATCTGATCATATAGTATGCATGGGTGATCTAAATATAAATGTTTTGAATAAACAAGGCCTGGACTATTCATTCATGTCAACAATTTTCGAGGATTTCAATTTGAATCAAATAGTAAGTCAGGAAACAAGAGTAACAGATAACAGCAGAAGTCTGATAGATGTGGTATTCGTAGATAAAAACTTAAACATCACAAAAACCGGAGCTGTAAATCTACCTTTCACGGATCATTATTTGGTATACTTTTGTACAGATTATCCAGCCAGCGTCTACAAACAAACATATATACGTATCCGCGATTTAAGGAATTTAGATACCAACTTACTTGCTGAGGTAGCTTCATCAATGTACTGGTTAGGAGTTATCAACTTCGAAGATCTTGAATCCAAGCTAAGCTACTTGTATGATTTGATCAATATTTTGCTAGACATATGCGCGCCCATCAAAACAGTAAAAGTGACAAAGCCACGCTATCCTTGGATCACCCAAAACATTAAGTTCATGATGAGATTGAGAAACAATGCATATATGAAATATAAAAAAGGGGTAAGGGATGCTCTTTCTGCAGATTTGATCAATGTCAAATGGGTTTATTATAAACAACTCAGAAATTTTGTAACAGCTTCCATAAGAAGAGAAAAAAAAGCCTATATAGAACTGCAGCTTAAAGAAGGTAGAAGTTCCCGTGATTGGTGGCGAACCATCAAACAACTAGGTGTACATAATCCTGTTAAAGATAATTTAGAATGCACATTGCAACCTGATTTAGTGAACAAATATTTCCTAAATTCCATTCCAGATAATTGTGTGGATACCAGTATTATTCATCATTACAATAGCAATGTTTTGCCATCTATAGACAACTTGTTTCAGTTAAAACCGGTCACGGAGGATAAAATATTACAGATTTTCAATAAAATAAAATCTCGGGCGGTTGGACTAGATGGTTTGAATATAAATATGTTAGCTCTAGTGTTTCCTTTTTGTTCTAAAGCGATTACTCATATAATTAACTATTCGCTTGAAAAAGGGTTAGTTCCTAAAATTTGGAAAGCCGCATGCGTTAGGCCTCTTGCTAAAGTTGATGCTCCGGAAGGACCTGATGATTATAGACCAATTAGTATCCTTCCAGTGTTATCAAAACTATTAGAAAAAATTGTATATGAGCAACTGATGCAGCACGTCACTACCTTTAAGATAATTCCATCTACGCAGTCGGGGTTTCGAAAAAACCACAGCACCGTAACAACTCTGCTCGATGTCTGTGACGACTTCATAGGGGCAATAGACAATTCTAAAGTTACTACTGCTGTCATGATAGATCTAAGTAAGGCCTTTGATTGCCTCAACCATGAACTACTTTTTGCAAAATTTCATTATCTTGGCTTCTCCGATAGTTCGATTAATTGGTTTCGCAGTTATTTTCATGAACGCATTCAGCAGGTAAAAATCGGTGACATCTTATCACAGGAGGGTACTATCTCCAAAGGTATACCACAGGGGTCTATTCTTGGACCTCTTCTGTTTTCTCTTTATGTAGCGGACTTAGATAAAGTCACTAAATACTGCAAATTACATACATACGCCGATGATACACAGATTTATCTATCTTACAACCCTGCTATGTACATTGAAGCGAATGAGATGCTGTCTGAGGATTTAAATAGTATATGTGTGTGGTATAACAAACATGGCTTATGTATTAACCCTAGAAAGTCGGCTATCATAACTATTAAATCTAAATTCAGCAAATTCAATAGTGAATTAATAAAGCTGTGTATTGGAGGTGATGAAGTTTGCCACAAGACATCGGTTCGCAACTTGGGCATCACATTTGATGAGAACCTGTGCTTCCATGATCATGTCACCAAAGTTGTTCAGGGTTCCTATGCTAAGTTGAAGTCAATTTATAGCTATAAAAATGTATTGTCCAAGCAGACCAAGGTTAAGCTGTGTGACTCCCTTATCCTAAGTAAACTTGAATACGGGGACCTTGTCTATGGTCCATGTCTAATACAGAGCGAGGCATACAGACTTCAAAAAGTGCAAAACAGCTGCATAAGATTCAGTTTAGGTATTCAAAGGCGGGAGAGGGTATCTGATCATATTAAAAATATTCAATGGCTTACTATGCGACAAAGGTGGATACTGCATCTATTATCATTGGTCCACAGTATTATGATCAATAAAATGCCTCTTTATTTGAAGAACAAGCTTACCATGAGATGTGATCATCACTCAGCGAACCTGCGTTTTGTAGGATATACTCTCGACTTGCCTCGGCACCGAACAACCCAATTCAGAAAGAGCTTTTCATATGTGGCGCCCGATTTCTACAATAAAGTACCTCAAGCATTGAAAACTTTATCTGTGTCCAGCTTTAAAAGAAAAGTTAGGCTCTTTGTCTTTGATGACATGTAGCATGTATTTTTTTTTTTTTGATTTCATCTAGCATGTATTTTTACGTAATTTTGTTTTTATATTTGTTTATTTGTGCATGTTTTCTCACTCGTCACTTTTCATTTGTTTGTGTTTTGCTTACACATTTGTTACTGTTTACTTTTAATTTTTATATCTTCTGCCATATACCTAATATTTTCTTTTTTAAAGTTACTTCTAATCACGGTTTTTGATTCTGCTACGTACTCTGTTACTGCACGTTTCTCTTTTGGTCTTTTGGTCATTATACCATGCTACGATTCTGTAAAAAAAATTTTTTTTTTCTGCTTTAAATGTTATCTTCAATGTATTTTTGTTGTATTTGCATGTACTTGATTTTTTTTTTTTTTTAGCCCTGGTTGGTTCTGAAAAACAGCTTGTGCTGATGTAACCCGCCAGGTAAAATAAAGGCCATTTATTATTATTATTATTATTATTATTATTATTATAACATATATCAAAATACATGAAAGTTGTCCTGCTTTTACCGTACAAAAGCATCATGTTGGAATAAAAAAGTTGTCTTGTTTATAATACAGTCGAATTTTCACGATTTTCACTAATATTCAGAGACCTTTGACAGCTTCCGTCAAATTGCATTTCGATAAGGTATTTTCCCATTGGTCCATAATATTAATGTTGGTGAAATTGGCCCTAAATGTACGAAATGTTCAATACATACAGAACTTACTATTCGAGTTGTTGGGTCCGGGTCCGTTGCTGAATCCTTGGTTGAAGTTAGGTTCTGGTTGGTTTTGCAGGTTCCCTATCAAACCCCATCCAGCTTGGTTGAGTGCTGCAGCAACCAAAGCGGGGTTCATAGGCAAAGCGCCCAAGTTGAATCCTAAGCCCAATGGATTGCTATTACCCTGATTGCTGCCTTGCTGTCCCTGACCTGTTATGCCTAAATTATTGCAGTTTCCTCAGTATTACAATTCACATGCAAGTTCATAAGCTACCATTTAAAAATATACTCCAACTATATATTTTGATAAGTACTTTATTAGAATACACACGGTTTTCGTCAATAATCGAACATCAAAAACATTTATACCACATAATATATGAATATTTATGCAGAAAGAAGAACAAAACACATCATCAACACTATTCTCTCCATTCACTGTCGAACGCTGGAAAGATTATAAGGTAGGTCAGTGGAAAAAGGGAAAGACGGATACGAAGAACTACAACATACTAAAAAAAAGATGGTCCATATTGTCATATCTCAAGTAACTAAATGAGAGGCAACAAAAACCCCAAAATTTAAAATTGTCTAAGAGTTGAATATCTGATTGCCATATGGTACTATAAAACATTGTAACCACTCCTAACACTGAACATGGCGGGGTCCGCGTGCACCGACTTTGTGTATACGAAGTTGACAGTGGCGTACGATGTCTTGCTCTCTTCAGTTTTGCACCCGAATATTACAAGTATTGTTTTTTCAAGACAAAATGCTAAAACGATACTTATAACAGATCAGAATTATTAATATTTTCCCTATTGATCTTGTTGAATCGTTGCTTTTAGCGCTAGTATCGCGATTTTATATGGCGGGAAGTGCGGATAGCAACTTGAAGTGGATTTATGCGAAATATCAAAATAAAAGTGTCGATTTATCGTAGGTTGTCAGATTGACAGAATTTTAGCGTTTTAGGGCTAATAATGTTGTAGTTCCATTATTTGATAGGTATGATTTGAAGGAAAACATATTACCTGATATTTTGGGTATGTTTCTGCTTTAGGAATTCAGAAAGGAACGTGGGCTCAGCAGTTCAACTAAAATTAACGTTATAAAGAGAAATTAATTCTTCTACAAAAAAACAAAAAGTGAATGCCTAAGTGAGATAAAGTCCACATTCTGCTCTTATTATTGCTAAACATGCAAAGAAAATGGATAAATGTATTTTTTAAATGCTTACCTAGCGCCTGCAAGTTTGGCATGTCAATATTCGTCCTCGGACCTCCCTGGTTGCCCCAGCCTCCTTGATTCGGCCCGGGGCCATTATACCTTCCAAAAATTGATGTTATGAATATGTATGCATTCTGTTGTCCAGGTATTTTTTTACATTTGACATATACATATCTCGTATATCAACAATAATGTCTGAAGCTCCAAAGGTATATTTCACCTAGGCTATTTCAAGTGACGTATTTGCAAAACGAGACTACTTGAAACTACCAAAATTTGGAGCACTATCAGTGCTCCTTCCATCAATCAGTTCTGGAAATATTTTTGTATATGATGGGAAAATTATCCGATTCGGATTTTTTGCATAATCACATTCAAAACGAGACTTTTAACTAATAGTCTAATCATATTAGGCGAAAATACCCCTGGTTTGCGAAATAATTGTAAAGTCTCGTTTTATTGCTGTAAATTGTTCAAAGGGGTACTCGAAACATAGACGCATAAAATGGGTACACCAATTTTTGTGAGAAAAATTTTTATTTGACAACAAAGAATGAAAAAACGTGTTTTTTAGGGTTCAATCGAAAGTATTGGCAAGGAACGAAAAAACTCTTCATATAAGATTTTTAGGAATTTATGAGACCACAAAAATTGGTGTACCCATTTTATGGGTCCATGCTTTAAATACCCCATTGAACAACTTGCACCAATAAAACCAGACTTTACAATTATTTCAATTTGCTAATATGATTAGACTATTTAATCTATATGCTGCCAGGACAAAATTTGTATCAAAAGTTTTAAACAATATTTTTAAACGAATTCCAAAAATTGTGTTTTTAGGATTTTTAGGACATTCTAAACAAAAAAGGTACTTTACAACTTTCCTCTAAAGTTGATAGTTTTCGAGTTATAAGCAAGACAATATTGGAAAAAGTGCGGAATATGCCATTTTCGACTCTGAAAAACAATATGAAATAATGGAAATTTTAATGTTGTCAATGTTCCTAGATATCCTTCAGACCCCAAAGCACCTGAGGAGGTATTGTTATTGTAAACCTTTGTTTTTGAATTATTAACTAATTTACTCGAGAATAACCAGAATAAAGAACTACTCATAGAAGACAAAGCAGCATGTTTCGTGCATTATCCAGCAATAAAAAGACTTTAACAACAGTATCATCGGACTTTTCCGTCTACTGTTTTAGTACTAATATTAATAATAATAAAACACTTGAGATACAACCAACTCACATGCGGTTAGAATATCAAACGTTCAGGGTTGAAAAAAAAAACATGTATTTAAAAAAAATCGATGTTTTTTTCGTTAAAAACATTCAAATTTAGCTGAAAAAAACATGTTTAAAACACTGTTAATGTATGTTTAAAACAGTAAACAAAAATTAAAAAACTGTTGCCTATATAATCTAGCAATGTTAATGAAGTTTCTTGAAAGTATTATTACTATTTTTGATCCAGCTCTATCAGAGCACATCTCTAATTTAAAGGCGGACGTCTGGGAAGTACCGTTTGCCTTTGGGTAATTTTTCGCGTTGCGATCTCCAGCAGTCAAATGTGCAAAGTCGTAGCATGGTGGTGTATTTTGTTTTTTGTGCATCAAAGATCGGCAAAAAAATTCAATGACAGGAAGAGAAAAGATCCCGTATGGAAATGTTTTCAGGAGACTGATGCCAAAGCTGGCTCGAAAATAAATAAAAGAGCAAAATGTTTAACCTGCAATATGGATATAGTGCCACTGGCGGCTAGAATGCGCAAGCATATTAAAAATAGTAAACAACTTAAACAAGAAAGTTTGTTAGAAAAACAAACTATTCACATATTAGATCGTTCTGATACCGACAATGATGTTCCGACCGAACCTATTTCCTCAAAGTTAAGTAGCTTGGAGAATTGTGAAAAAGGTACATTTTTTTACTTGGGTTCCGTAAAAAGTAGTGAAAACAAAAAATTTAATCTATGTACATGTTCCATCATTTATATTTTAAAAATATGGATTTAAGGATTTTTTGTTAAATAACATACTTTTATAGAAATTTGTTAAGTAACTTATTTAATGTTATTATACAAGTAAATTTTTAGTTTCGTTTTGTGAAATAAAATTCAATTTTAATCATACTTAAAAAATATAAAAAAACTTGAATTCACAAACGTCAAAAAAACAGTGTTTAAAACATGTTTTAAACAGCTCAAAACAAATTGGTTGAAAACACCTTCATTGCTTTAAAGAGTGTTTAAAACACTTGTTTTAAACATTTTGATTAAAACATAACGACCCTGTGAAACATTTAATGCTCACCTTTGTGAATACATGCCAGAACCGCTGCCGTCAGGTCCACCATTGGGTCCTCCACCACCTCCTCGGTTATGGCCCCCAACACCTGATCGGTTGTCTCTACCCCCATACCCGCCGCCGCCTCCACCGCCGCGGGAGTCTGATTTGGGGGCTGCATTGACACGTGCACGGAAACGCCTGAAAATAAATGGTCCAAGAATACTAAACAGTACAAGCATCATAGAAAGTGTAAATGACAACACTGGCTGAGTGTTGCCCATCCAAGAGCAAGATCTGAACCAAACAGTAGCTTTCGACAATGTAGTAGTAGTAGTAGTAGAAAGATTTATTTAGCACATTTGGCTACATAAACAGAATAATTGTAAACAACTTAGAATTAGTAAATTCAAGCCATATGATGTATGATATAAATGCTGGGCAACCTATAATTATTGTAGATATAACAAGTGATTCCCCAATTTTACTTTAAATTTTGTCAAAGTTTTCTGGTCTTTTATCTCTATTATTTTTCACTTTATAAATGAATATCATTACAAGATATTTGATAAAAAATTTTACATTGAGCCATTTTAATTTGCTAAGCATTTGTCTAATTGGAGTATATTTATCTTTATTCAGTATTATTCTCATGCACTTATTTTGTAAAATTTGCAGTCTTTCAAAAATGGAATTATTTGCTAAATACTGAATAGTCAAACAGTACAAGAAATTTGGAAGAATGATGGTATTATAGATAATTTTTCTGCTATAGAAACTCAGACATCCAGAAACTCTTGATAAATATCCCACTTTACTACTAATTTTATTTATAACTTTTTCATAATGAATATCAAAAATTAATCGAGAGTCAACAAAAACCCCCAGGTATTTAAAATTTTCTATGAATTCAATATCTTCACCATCAATATTCAGTTGTACATTGTTTTTTTTTCCGTTTAACATAGCTTTCGTTTTGCTTGTATTTAAGTTTAGTCTGTTAGATGCTAACTATTTTGAGACAAGTTTCAAGTCTTCGTTTATATAAGAGATGCCACTCTGAATATTTTTTGTACTTATATAAATCATAGTGTCATCGGCGAAAATCTGAATTTTGCATTTTTTGACTATGGCAGGTAAATCATTTATGTATAAAATAAAAAGAAGTGGTCCCAGGATACTGCCCTGTGGAACACCCAACGTATTTTCATTTTTTGATGAAATGGTGTCATTAACTTTTATAACCTTCATCCTTTTAGACAAATAAATGTGTTAAATCATAATGCTTGCAAAAGTGAAGCCTTTGATTGAATAAACTACCGAATGGGAAGAAAGCAAGTAGTAAGAATAAAAAAAATGTCATCCGAGATGCCTCGTGTCTTCAGGTGTCCCTCGGGGGAGTCATTTATCTCTACTCCTGTTTAATTCTTCTATAAACGATGAACTGAATGTAATAAACTTCAAGAAAACACTAATAACCTTGGTTCAATTTGTAGAGTGAAATATCATGAGATTTTCTAGGAGACATAAAACAATTTTAACTATCAACGTGAATCATCAGTCATGAAAATAGTTATCATAAATGACCTCGGGGTTATATACGTTATAAATTCAATTTTTTCCGTTCATACAAGTGAGACACCACAGAAGTTCTAAAACTGTTGGGGTCATCTCAAATGATAAGTAAATGATGTGCACACCTTTAATGATGTGATCTTCTCCGCATAATGACTGAGCTACCAATGGATCCAGGAAAGTGACGAAGCTGAAAGCTCTGAACGGCTTAGGTATGAATACGTCCGTTACTTCGCCGAACTTTCCGAAATATTCTCTCAGATCGTCTGCTGTGAGATCTTCGGTGCATCTACCTATAAATACCTTGCATGGAACCTGCTGGATCAGCCCCTCCTAGAACAAAAAATTAATCAGTCTTGTTTTGCAACTCGTCAAACTAAAGGAGTTTTCATAAACTAAAATCGGATCCATCAAGTAACACTTCTTCATATCCGATTATAGTTTACAAAAAGCCCTTAAGTTTTGGTTCAACTATAGGGTGAAAAGATTCTTTTGTAAAACCATGTCTTTTACGTGACAGAACGTTAGCACTTTGTATGACATACACTGAGAACCAAATTTGTCTGACGGCTTGAGTTCAATGTGTACGAGAGGGAACTGGGTGTATGTTAGACAGAGACTGGATAGCGAATATATGCCCAAATAATGGTTTTATTTTGAGAGTACACATTTTTGAATTGTGAATTGTGTAGAATAAAACACCAAGTCTCGTCAAAATTGAAATAAATGAAAATAAAAACAAAATACAGTAGACGCTCGATAATGTAAACTACTATAATTTAATCCAAGTGTGGTTCACATTACCGAAATGTTTACATTAGCGAACGTGATGTATATAATATTTGATTTATTAAAAGAAACGTTTAATACATACTATTTATAACAAAATAAAAAAATATTCTAACAGCGATAAGGATTTTTTTAATTAGAAGAAAAATAATTAACAATTTTTGTCTGCGTAAATTTGCGCTTAGCATTGTCTTCCAATGCCTGCGCCCGTAATTTACGAAGAACTAAAATATCCGTGTATGAAACTTCTTTTCTTTCAGCCCAATCTAAAGCTTGGTTAAAAACTTGTATAGCTTGTGCATCAGTCACTACACTTCTGACTTCAATGGGATCGTTCTCATCATCCTCACTGTCCATATCCTCCTTATCAGCATCATTCGTCTGCTTATCTTCGTTCCATAAATTAATATCAGCAAGAGTACAAACAATGTTGGGATTCACTGTTTTCAATAAATCAACAACATCCAATGACACACTAATAACATCATCATTATTGGATCGCAAACGTTCTCTAATTACGCTTAAGGGGACATCATCTTCATTATTGGTACAAAAGAGATTGTTCCAACATTTTTGAATAGTTTGCTGGTTAAGTTCATTCCAGGCCATATCTAAATCTAAAACAGCTTCTCGTAACGTTACTTTTTTTAAAGCCTCAGATAAGTTTTCAGGATTCTTTGATAAGACAGACGAAAGTAGAAACTTCCTATAGTATAGTTTGGTGAGTCTTATTATATTCTGGTCCATCCGTTGAATTAACGGTGTTAAGTTGGGCGGCATGTAGATGACGAAAATTGACCCATCCCTGGTCCTCAGTTGTTGCTCGGGAGGATGACTTGTTGCATTATCCAATAGTAACAACGCTTTTATTGGAAGCTTCTGTTGTTTTAGGAAACCTTTTACCTACAAATTGAAAACACATCTTCAAATTATGAATAGAGCATTTGTGATAATTGATTGTCATACCTGAGGGACAAAGCACCTGTGGAACCATTTCAGGAATATTCTGCTAGTCATCCAAGCGGTTTTTGAACAGTCATAATCAACAGGGATATTAACATTTTTAAATGAGCGCGGATTTTTTGCTTTCCCAATTACCAGTGGCTTTATTTTGTGTGAACCATTAGCATTAGTGCAGGCTAGAAACGTTATTCATTGTTTCTCCGGCTTTCTTCCCGGGGCAGATTGTTCAAATGATGCAGCATAGGTTTTCTCTGGTAACATTTTCCAATAAAGACCACTTTTATCTGCGTTGTAAATTTGTTCCATTCTTAAATCTAGCTCGGTAATTGTTTTCATCAATTTTTCTTTGAATGGTTGCACTAATTGTGGTTGTGCTGATAATTTTTCACCAGATATAGACAGCAGTCGAATTCCCTCTCTTGTTTTGAATCGTTGTAGCCAGCCATCACTAGCTACGAAATTTTCAGTTTCTTTCAGTTTTTCATTTAACAGTCTCGCACTCTGTTTAAGTACTTCGCCACTAACTGGGACATGATTTTCCCGTTGTTTTAAAAACCACTTATACAGGGAATTTTCCATTTTAGGTGCCTTCGCATTTTTTAAAGTTTTTCTTTTCCCGGACCTCCAAATGTATTGCACGTTCTTTGTAAAATATGAGTTTTCATACGCTTAATTTTACAGATTCTTTCGATACTCCATATTTTGCTAACTGTGTCACTCCCGCACCTAGTGCAACTTCGTCTATGATTTTCACTTTCTCACTCAACATTAATCACCTTCTTTTATAGCATGTGGATGCCATAGTCGTAAAATATATTAACGCGTGCAATGTATTCACTAAAGTTCAAAAATGAAATACATACGTACGTATAAACGTATCCTAAACGATCATACGACTGACCGAGTTTGTCGTATTTTATCGCAGAGGTGAATCCCCTACACTCTACATCATAAATCGGGGACTCCCCGACGCCCGACATAAATCATCGAGGCTTCAGCATTTTACTGTCGCGCTGTTTCCGTGCGCCGAGAGTTGTTTACGTTATCGAGCGTACACATTGTTTACGTTATCGCGCATTCCGTTTGATCCTATAGAACGAAGTTTGTGTTTACATTAGCGCAAGTTTTCATTATCCCGTGTTTACGTTATCGAGCGTCTGCTGTATTAAATTGAATGTTTGAACAGACCTCCTTCTTGGGTTTAACAGTAAGCTAACCTAATGTAGAAGTGTGTGCGACCATTTCTGGTGTAAAATATTTTCATCGCGGCAGATTGCATGACCTTCTGCATCACCATTGCTAGGCAATGTGGTGATGACCTTCACTCTTCAAACAGCTTCTATCTCTTTCTAACATGTCTTCATTTTATTACGGGTTATTCAAATAGATTTGTTCTATTGAGCAAACAAACTAATTATAACCTCACATATGAATGTTCATCAATATTAAAGTATCATCTCTATACATTTCTTTTCACCCTGTAGTTCATCGAAGTAATGATGAGAAGTACATTAAATCAAATAGTATGGTTGATAAGAACATAAAAAATCATACAGCTGCATATTTATCTCATATATCAACACTGTACATTTGTCATTCTGTCATTCAGATGATGAAAAATGTGGATATCCAATCAGATTATAATAGTCCACAATTTGTCACTGATGAATGGTTCGGCATCATTGGCGCACTGAATTAAAAAAAATGGTAAGTTAAAACCTTACTGGTAACTTTAGCCATGTAACAATCTGTCATAAAACTGACAGTAATATCATGAATAGCTATGTTCACTATTTTAAATTAAGAAAACAAATATCGTTATGTTGAATTACTTATTATTTGCATTTGATATTCTTAGTAATTGCAATTTAATATGTTGATATGTTTGTTTTACATGTCAGTGTTTTCTTGAATGATAGTAACTACCTGCTTTATCAAATGTGGTATTTACAAAAATTAAATGTTTCAGTATCAAAAATTAACGTTCGTGGCCTGCTGATCAATGTCTTATAGATAATAACATGAATTTATCATATTTCATCAGTAACAAATCCAAATAACTTCTTTCAGCCATAGATGCATCTATGCCTACACCAATCATGTCAATGAAACATATCTGACAATCGAAATTTTCAACGATAATTCACCAATTCTTCACTTTCTATAACACCAGCATCCAGAGCAGATTGTCCAAACTACTTTTAACATCAATTCACTGTTCAACATACTACTTGATCATAACAGTCCACATACTACTTCATTCAATTACATTTTCCACATAAAACTCATTTTCATCTGGCATTTACAGAATACAGAAGAATTGACAGGTATAACATTTTGCTTTATTTTTTTTTTATTAGTTACACCCAACAAATTTGAATAGGTTAAAAGAGCCAAGCCTATGTTTACATTGCATTATTTGTCACCAAAATTAGTTTTGTTTTAGTGCATACTTTTGGCTCATTTGTCTACCATTGCCTACCAAACTGACAATCAAATACATAGGCCTACATTTTTTTCTCTGTAAAGGTATTCACGTTTTGCAGAGCAGAGATACGATATGTATTGCGATGTGAACCTCTTATTGTTAATAAACACGGATAAATTAAAGAAGGCAAAAAAAGTAAATATACAGGGTGTTTCAGTTTATTGTTGCATAACTTTAAGATTCGATAGAACTTTTTAAATTAATGCATAAAGTCTATATAAACATGGGTCGAAAAATGCGTGGCTTCCGAAATACAGGGTGTTTAAATTTACTTTCTAAAATAGTTTTTGTTAAATATTTCGAACAATATTTGATGTATAACAGTGAAAATTGGTATACAAGGGTTTTTTGGTACGACAAAACGAACCATGGGCATAGTTTTACTGTAGCCGCTAGAAGGCTACTGTACCTGTAGTGTATTAAAATGACCGAAAAAATGTTCTTAGTGCAATTTTTTGCTTTTTGAATAAAAAAACTGATTCTTCGCACTTTTCAACATAAAAAAGCTCTCTTGTGAATTTTCGTTATAGTTAGCCGTTTTTGAGATATTTCGATTTTTAAGGTTCGATGCATTTTTAATTACTTATGATAAAATAACGTTAAAAAGTCAGTATCTCGATAATTTTTAGAAGTAGGCTGTGCCTACAAATATTTTTGAAATTGAAAGCAGAATAAGGTTAAACGTCAATTAGTTGACAGTTAGTTTTGTTGTCTGTTGAAACCTGAAACGTTTTTTTGCAATTGTGAATGCACGAAATTTAGTTTTTTTTACCTGTTTTTTTTTTGTAAGTTTTATAAAAATGCCATTTTTATTCTCCAATCAAGAGTTAGCGGATATTCATTTTCTGTATGGCTTTCTAAATGGAAACGCAGCAGAAGCAGCCAGAGAATACGTGCGAAGATTTCCAAACAGACGACATCCAACTTGCTTAGTATTTGTAAGAGTGCATCGCCAAGTAATTGAAAATGGTTTTGGAAATCTCCAAAGGGATCAAAACATAAATGTTCGTCAGCGCAGATTTACCCGTATGATTCTGCGTGAGTTTGATAGAGATCCGACCACAAGTGTTCTGGTGCCTTGGGAATTTCAGCAGGCCATGTTCACCGTGTTCTTAGAAATGACCATAGACGTCCTTATCATTTGCAACCTGTGCAAGGACTACAGCCAGGGGACGGAGAACGAAGAATCACATTTTGTCAGTGGATTCTTGATAGAACTCATAATAATAGGGAGTTTTTAAGTAACGTTTTATGGACGGATGAGTCATGCTTCACTAGACGTGGAGTGGTAAATTTTCATAATCAACATATTTGGTCGCATGAAAATCCGCATGCAGTTCGGGAAAGAAATTTTCAGCATGAATTTAGTGTGAACGTGTGGATTGGTATCTACCGTAATCGACTATTTGGACCCGACCTTTTGCCTGCAAGGTTAAATGCTGCGACCTTCTTGGAATTTTTAAAGGCTGAACATGCAAATATGTGGGATGATGTTATGTTAGATTTAAGAAGATTGGCCTGGTTCCAGCTTGATGGTTGTCCAGCTCATTATTCGAGAATAGTTAGAAACTGGCTGGACGAAAATTATCCAGAAAGATGGATCGGCCGTGGAGGACCAGTCGCCTGGCCTCCACGATCCCCTGGCCTAAATCCATTAGGTTTCTTTGTGTGGGGATTTCGAAAAGAAAAAGTGTACCAGACTCCCGTAACCACAAGAGATATGCTAATAGACAGAATCAGGAACGCATGTGATGAAATAAGGCCTTATTTGAATAATGCTATACCACGTTCGATCATTCGTAGATCTGAATTTTGTATTGAACAATTGGGTTTACATTTCGAGCAACTACTTTAGATTTTGTATGTTTGTCGTAACTATTCAATAGCATTTTAGTTGTAAATAATTAATTTAATTTGTTAAAAATAATATTGGAAAATTAAACAAATTAATATTGTTTTTTTGTGTTTATTTGGAATTAGGAATTATTGCTGTGTTTAAAAACACAATCTAAACGATCATCTTAATTACTTGTAATGCCCAAATCGAAAATGTAAAAAAAATATTATTTTCCCATAAATAATTAAAAATGCATCGAACTTTAAAAATCGAAATATCTCAAAAACGACTAACTATAACGAAAACTCGCAGGAGAGCTTTTTTATGTTGAAAAGTGCGAAGAATCAGTTTTTTTATTCAGAAAGCAAAAAATTGCACTAAGAAAATTCAGTCATTTTAATACACTACAGGTACAGTAGAGAGCGCCCTCTAGCGGCTACAGTAAAACGAACCATTCGTTTTGTCGTACCAACAAACCCTTGTATACCAATGATAGCACACGAACAATAATTGTACTTAATATGGTGAAAAATAAGAAAAATGGTATTTATCAAACAGAAGCAATGACACAGTACCTGATATTGGAAATAGCGGGACGACTTGCTTGAATTTTACTGTCTTTCTAAAAAGTTGTTAACCAAGCAAATGCTTGAATAAAAGCAAATACATAGTTGCACCTGAGAAATTACTGCTATCATATCATTGCAATTTAATTTTTTTGGTATTAATAGATTTTTTTTAGCCTGTTGAGCTTCCTCATTAGAATCTTGTGGCAAGAAAATGAGAGTATAAAATTACTATTTATATTATTTATAACACCTTTCCTAAGAACTTTTAGATTGTGGAAAAAACCTTCAGTTACAGTTTCAGTTAAACTTTGCCTTGACTCCAATACGTTTTATTTTTAATGTTGCTGTTAGGTATACAATCCTGATAACAAAGCTTAGATTTGGACTGACCACTCAAAGAAAGAAGAAGTGGACTGAGATAAAGCTACCTCGCAAATATCCAGGTAAAAGCCCATTGCTGAGGTAATGCCAATGACTATAATGTGTATATTAACATTATCAATCTATTATTTTTAAACAACTTCTTGCATTCCACAGAAACCTTTACCACATTTGACAATCGTCTGGAACATTTGGGCTATATAGAATCCACGCACTTTTATATGTTTTTACAGAAAAATACGAATTCCATGTGAAATGTCAACAACTGCCAAACTGGCAGCTTAAGTCTGATCGACTTGTAGCATCTTCCATCCTGTTTCAGACTATGAGATTTTGAAGACAAACAAATCATAGACTTAGTCCTACCTAATCTGAACTTGTTGGGTACATTTCTCAATCAGAATCTGTTGGGACATATTGATACATGGAAAATTTTTTCAACTTCAGCTTACTGTGTGAGGTTCAAAAAATAGAGTATAGCTAACAATGTATTATCAATGCAACTACAAGGATTATGTTTAAATATGGTAGACTGTAACATTAATTTAACTTCTCATGGTATTGGAATTGGAAGTTCACAATGAACAATTTCCAACTTTACTTTCTCTCAAAGCACGTCAATAAATAATTAAATCAGTTTATTTGTCATGGAAATGGAAAGGAAGAAAAAAACTTGGTTGTAATGAAAAAATCTTTCCAAATGCTTTTCAAACATATGCAAACATTTATTTCAAAAAAAAATAAGTATTTAAAATAGCTCTAAAATTTGAGATAAAAAGTATGTTTGAATTTCGTAACACAAGTTAATTATGAAATTACAGTTTTCAACGCCAGGTCAAAATAAGTCATCTGAAGCCACACAGTAAGCTGGATATTGAAAAAATACTATTGCACTTTCCAAATTTGATTATCCATAAAAATGTTATGAGGAGTTTGTTCATCTCGACTTGATATCAAATTTCATTCATTAGTAAATTTTTTGAATATATTAACTTATCTTTAGTCACAAAGATACAGGTTTTGCACAGGTGGATTTATTTTCCTCACAAAAATTACTGGTGGTTTGTCACTGAGAATTGTGTGTTGCTGGCTCTCCATTCAGAATATATTTAACAAGATCCCAAACAGCTGAATACATGACTACTGAAAAGAAGTTACCTGACAACACATGTTTGTTTTAATAATGCAACATGATAAATAATTTAAAGTATATTTATTTAAATAGTAACTACTCATATAGCTAAATACTGGTCAAGCAAACAGATACTTTTTAAGAATGAACCTAAAAGTCTATCTGCCCAGAAAAAACATTCTGATTAGGATTTTTTTACAGAACCTTTTTTGAAATGGACCCCTTTTGATAAATATGTACGTTGCCATACTGAAAATTGCATCAAAATTGATCAACACTTTTTTCTCTCTGGTCAAGTGTTTTCAGGTTTTTAGAACAAAAAAGGTTTTAAAACTTTTCTGTAACATTGATAGTTTTTGAGAAATAAGCATTACAATATTTAAAAAAGTAAGAAATATGCCATTTTAAACCCCAAAAACAATATGAAAAAAGGAACATTTAATACTGCCAAAGGTCCTAAACATTTGTCAAATCAATCAAATCAGAATCAATGAACAAACTCCTAAAGTATTTTATTAGATGCATTAGGACCTGCTTGATTAACAATTCAAAAACAATAGTTTACAATCATAAACCTTCTAAAATGCTTTGAGAACCTGTTAATGAATGTTTGAAGAATATTTAGGGCCTTTGACAATGTTAAACAGTTTGTGTTTGCATGGTGTTTTTGGGGTTGAAAATGGCATATTGGCATATAGTAGCTTTTTCAGTTCCCCATACAAGCCAACTATGAGTCTCTCTAGCATTGACCACTCATTATAAAGATTAATGGTTTTTTGATTCTGAAAGGAAAGCTGCAGCACATATATCTAGTGTTAAATTTGGATTTAATTATATCTAAGTAACAGTGTCCGATTCTGTTATGAGTGCTAAAAGAAGTAAAAATGATACAAACTCCAACTCCACACCTGCTTTCCTGTGAATCAATCATGAGATGGGAACTGAGGGTACTTACTTTCGAATTAGGCACTTTCACATCACACCACCTGCCATCAATCATATGCCTCTGCGCTAAAACTCTCATCTGTGACTCATAAGATGCAAACCTGATAAAGCCGAATCCCTTAGACTGGCTGGTCTTGGGGTCTTTCTTCACCTGGGCCATCAATACCTCACCAAATGTCTCAAAGTACTCCCTTAAATTCTGCTCTGTTGTCTTCCAAGGAAGGCCAAGAACTATCAGATCCGTACAACGAAGTTTCATTTCCATACGTTTGGTTTTTGCTGTGGAGTTTTCCAGGTTGTCATCACTCTTTCTCTTGTTTTCTAAAAGCAGTTTTTACCATAACTTCTTTTAAAGCAAAATAATTATGGAGTAGTGATCTAATTCTCTAATATATTTGTAGTGAAATGAAATTGATAAAATGTTTTATCTCAATATTTCATAGACATTTTTATTTAGCTGTTCTATAGGTCATGGTTTTTTGGCATAAAAATTACTTTTTGTAATCACCATAGGAAGAAGTCTAGACCAGACCTTACTTTTGAAAATTTACTATTAAAAGATGTTATCTTGCCTCCAAGATCACCAGATTTACTAGTCAGAGACTTATTTTAGCGATTCTAAGAAATAAGGTATCTGCCAACAAATCAAACCCTATAAAGCAATAATCTGAAAGCTATTAACACGTTCACTGATGCGGCGGGCATTTTGCCTAAGGTATTCCATATTGCGAAGCTTGTCTAATTTTTATTTTTTATGATTTTTATAGCTATAGATTCTTCCACAAAAAAACAGAAGGACCCAAATAGGCCCCGAACCGCATACAACCTATTAATTTTTACTTGCTTGCGGTATGGGGTCACACGTTTACGGGTCAATTTTACCCTGACCCGCATCTAATCATATTTGGACAAGTCTATGCAGGATTTTTCTCGAGAGCACAATACCTTACAGTAAATTTATTCAGTTGGCAAGCATACGCCGTCGTGGGTGGTACTAATCGCAAAAATGTCTCGTGGAAAAAAACTTGTTGATCTTGCACAAGCCATGACAAGGCAAAGTGAGTCGGAGTCCGAGTGTTCGTTTTATGAAGATTCAGATGACTCGCTGATGGACAAAGATTACATACCAAGTTCGTCCAGTGATGAAAATGAGTTCGAAGTCTCTCAAGACGTGCTCCCATTAAGCCAAAATAATGCCTCACAAAATGCTCCTAGCCCATCTAATATAATTTGGGTCGATATAACAGTGCCCTCTAGTGAATTGTTTCTACTTTGTGTGATAATGAAATCAGTTTTAATGTACCACCTGACCTTTCTTCCCCTATCGATTTTTTGAAGTTGTTTGTTAATGACGAGTTGATCGAGAAAAAAGTTTCAAGAGACTAATAGATATGCTGAAAATTTGATTTCACAAGAAAACAAACCTAAATCAAGACTAAATTTATGGAAACCAGTAGATCATAATGAATTGCAAAACTTTTTTGCCATAGTAATAGCCATGGGAATTGTGAACGCTACAATAATTAGTTTGTATTGGTCCAAAGATTCCTTATATCAAAATCAATTTATATCATCTTGTATGACCGATTTTAATTATTTTAAGATGCTGGCATTCCATGAATAACATAGATGATACTGGCGAAGACAGTATGTTCAAAATTCGCCATTTGATTGACAGCTTGACAATTTATGAATTATATTAATATTATGAAGTGGGTAGATAAAAGACCAGGTCTGATGCTCTCAACCTGTGAAAATCATGATACATCATTAGTTAATACAGGAAAAATGAGAAAAGGACAGATTGTAAAAAAACCACAGTGTGTAATCAATTACAATAACTCATAAAAAGGTGTCGATTACAGTGACCAGATGGCATCTTACCAGAGCCCCCTCCAAAAGAGTTTAAAATGGTACAAAAAAATTGCAGTTGAATTAATTTTTAATTCAGCAATCTTCAATGCTTGGGTTATGTTTAATCATTAACATCCAACTAGTAAGCTCACAATTCTCCAATTTAGAGAAAAACTAGCGAAATATTTCTATCAGTGTGGCAGAGAAGAATTGCAACCAGAATGGCCAAGAACTCCCAAAAGATACCATACCCTTACTGTAGGGGAAACCGAAAACAAAAAGAGGAGAAAATGTGTAGGATGCTACAAATTACTAAGAAGAACAATGAATAGTCGCGAAGCTGACAAAAAGGTAAAAAGTCTACACTCACTGTAAGGAGTGTGCAGGGAAGCCAGCCTACTGCTTAGTTTGTTGTAATGAAGCCCATTAGTCGTTGTGTATTGCAAAATCAATATTTTACTTTTCTTTTATATAAATGACACCATATTTTAGCTTAGAATTTGACTGTTTCTATATTTTAGCTTAGGATTTGACTGTTTTAGTTTAATATTAAAGAAAGTGTTTTTAATATGATTGCAAAAATACATATTTTACTTTTTTCTATCGTAAAAATACTATTATTTAACTTTAGTTTTTCCTGGCTCTGTTTTAGATTAAAGGAACTTTTATCATTATTACTGTGTGGTTATTTCTTTAAAAAAGCTTTTATTTTACCAAAAAAAAAATAAAAACTTTATTGTTGACTAGGAGGTATGTTTCACCCGTAACGCAAGTCAGGCCAACTCAGTACGAGTCAAGTTTGCCCCGTAACACATATCAGGCCAACTTAGGTTTTTGCCAATGCAGTGAACGTGTTAAAATATCCCACCAAAATTTGACAAAATGTAAGGGGATTCAGCTTTCAGCTTCCAGGAGGCCATTTTTATACAATTTTTCTGTCCAAATAAAGGAAACAGGGTTGGACCTTAAAATTTGCATATTTAGCATGATTTTGTGTGCAATATTAAGGATTTGCACATGGCCATGCAAGCCAACTAGTAATATACTCTACTAGGCTATAAAAGCCTACAGATATATGAACTATTAAAAATGTCACTCAAAATCCGTATATTATCTTGAGACCATTAAGGAAATTGCAGCAAGCATTCACAAAAGCAAGCTACATTTTAAGAATTTTGGGTAGATAGTTGAGTGGCATGTCTAAACATTTAAAGAGTCAGCTGAATTATGTAGTCAATGAAAATAACTATTTAAATAATTAAATTAAAGCTAATATTATCGATTAATTTGATTTTGGCACGTTGCATTAGCTAGAAATCGGCGGCCATTGTGAAATTCGATATTTACCTTTAGGAAAAACGCAATAGAAAATCTGTGAGCCCCAGCCATCGTCTGATGGTGGATGGAACTTGCCATCGCTAAGCCTGACTCCCCTAAAGGTTTTGCTCTCAGGGTTGCGGTACTTCAATCCAGAAGCGCCCGGAAATTGAGCAGATAAGGTGCTGAGCAGCAAGGTGCCGTCATCTTCTGTGGGCAGCTCTATCGGCTCCTCGCCCTCATCCTCGGCCACTTGGAGGTACTCAATCGACATCGTTCAAGACAAATTCACTCACGCAAGCACACCACCTCAATAAAAGCGTACTGTTTAACAAATACCGCTCGCCTTTCACAAACAAATCGGCCAACTGACACTGAGAAGTGCAAATAAAATGGCCGACAACTGACCGGCGCCGTCTAGGGATGGGCAAAAATAACCGGTGAATTGAAATTCTAAAATCAAATCCAAGCGGATAACCAAAATTTCCGTATTATGTACCGCGGTTATAATATGGTTCAAGATGACATACGGGATGATGACGTCAGATACTCGAATCGCTTGAACGCGTTGGTTTTAACCGCGGTTTGTTGCAAGTTGTTTATTTTAGAAAAGCGCGTATATAATTTCTGATTATTTTTATTATCACTTAATAATCGGTGCTTTTTCGTCCACAACGGGGTATGGAAAGTTGAAAAAAAGAAAACTTTCATAATATTAATGGGAGGAAAGTTTTTTTTTCAGAAAATTTTTTTTACTGATGGAACCATGGCTTTGTAGCTATGATAAATTTCAATTCTCTAAACTTTTCCGCATGTCAAAGAAAATATTTATTGATTTAGCAGAAATGATGAAAAAGCGATGAAAAAAAGATATTAACAAAACCGTATTCAGATGGACATCATCCAGTGAGTCTATACAGCCATATTTTAATATTCTTGTGGTATATGGCTATACAGGATACTTTGTTAAGCGTAGGAACTGGATTTAAAGTGTACCCAACAACAGTAATGGTTATAAATAATAAGATGCTCTCTTATGCTAAAACTGAAGTCAGCCTGCATCAAGTTTCCCAAAAATGAAGCTGAAGTACAATAAAAATATCCAATACCCGGCAAAATTCTAACTTGTCACATGTCAAATAATAACCAGAAATATAAAACTACTCCCGAGTTGGGTAAATACCACAATTTTGCGGTGATAACTATGACATATAACAGCCGATTCATGACGTCACGGATCTTATAACCAAACTGATAACCACACTGGCTTGAACGGATCGGTAAATACCAATCCAAAATGGTAAATACCATTTCCATTTGGTTATTCGCTTGAATTTGATTTAAATTTATTAATCGGTTTTAGTGATGTAAAATAATTAAGTAACGCTTACAAAATAATCGTTACAAATGAGTAACTAAATGTAACGAGTCCTACTTTTTGAAAAGACTCGTTACTTTTTATTTGAATTCGTTACTTTGAATGCGATATGGTCTTTTTCTATGTATACTTTTTAATTACTGTTAGTTACTACACTATACATTACATTAGATACAAACGTTACTGGGATCTAATGTAGCCAGTACTGCCAGCGCCAACAGCAAGTGACTTGGTTCTTGGATGTAAACTGGGTGGAAATGAAATGATGCGAATATCGTTAGGCTTAGGCAACTTTAGATACTCTTCTATCAAACGAGTTGCGGACTGCGGAGCTTTAGGTTGGCAATGTTTGTGTACACCTGTACACTTTTCATTTGACTTTGAGAGCTAGCGGTTGGCGGGTTGTTACTGGTTTGGACGTTGCCGTACAAGCTCGAGCAATAATATAATTATTATTTGTACAAAAATATGGAATCATCCGCGTCCGGTTCAGGAGAATCGCAAACTCAAAAAAGAAGTGTTATTTGGATGCATTTCACCAATATATCGGAAGCTAATGCAAAGTCTAATCTTTGTAAAAATATTTATTCGCATAAAAATGGAAACATTAGCAATTTAAGGAAGCATTTGAAAACTAAACATCCGACTCTTTCATTGGAAGGAGAAAGGGCAAAACGGCGGGTGGAAGACGAAAATATGACTAGGTGCAAAAAGAACTTAGTTTCAGGTATGTTTTATTATTATAAGTATTTTGTTGAACACCATTTACAGTGGAGTAACCAGACTGTTAATTAGGGCAGGGGAGTAACCAGACTGTTAGGGCAGGAGACGCTACTCAACTAAAGTAAAGAGTGACGAGAGTGGTTCCTCCACGGTCCCCATCTGGTTATGCCACTTGTTAAATACTATTTACAGCGTACAGCCGACGAACCAGACGTCACACAACGACGAGTTTAAAATATAAGTACCTTCTACGTATCAAATATCAAAAAAATTAATAGGCAAGGCATTAGACAAAAAATAATAATTGGATCAATCCCAAAGTAATAATTTGATATAATATATAGAATGTAGGTTCAAAACGAAATGTCCAAATAGTAACTAAACTAACGAGTCCAAAGTTCGAAAGTAACGAGTCCTTACAAGTCCTAAAAAGTAACGAAACTTTGCATCACTAATCGGTTTTAACCGATTATTTCATAATCTACGATTAACAGGTTATAGGTCCAAAATGTGCAATAGCCGGAAGGTTTTTCTTTTCCTATCTACACAAATTTCAGTAAGTATGGCTTCATTTGTACAATCGAAAATCGCCAGCATGCCACACTTATTAACCCAAAAAAAAAATAGCATTGAAGTAACGGTTTATACGAGGGCAGTAAGAACCGTTTTGTAATCCAGTTAGACAAATTTTATTTATGAATGTAAAATGTATCACAAACTAAAATGACATTTTTTTCATTTTTCAACATAGCACCATAAACATTCAAACACAAGTCAAGCATTGGCACCAGTTTCTGTCTTAATGTAGCATCTGAAACTTATCCTGCGGTTTTCATGACGACTATTTCCCTCGTCTTAATTTCTACCAATCACAAACGCGGAATTTTGAATTACAAATTTCTAGATGGAAAAATTGTATGACAGTACTGTTTCCAGTTTACCGGCGGCAAAATTTGACAGCTGTTGTCACCAACAATTACAATACCTTTTATAACAAGTAATTATGGCCTCCTAGGACAGCAGAAAACGCCGCTAAGCTAAATTTTGTAATATTGTTTTTAAACAGTGCTAGTCAGCTTTATGTAGTGAAAATGAGTCGCTTTGGAAGTGATTCTTTGAGTAATATTGATCTCGCGATTGAGATATACCTCAGTATATGACTGATCTATGTAATGTGCGCAATTTATTTAAAAAAAAGGATAGGATGTCAACCCTAACACACAACTAGATGAGAATGCAAGGCTCACCTAGTTTGCCTCGCAGATATCCTGTTTCCCTCAGAAGAGGGGGAGGTAAACCTAATTTCCGCTTTGGAGACACTTCGTCACAGCACTAAATCAATACTGAGAGAAAATTGAGAACCCTATAATGAACACCACTACTGAAAAAAAGTAGCTAAACCGAATAGAGCTCTGCACGAAGCTGTGAACGCTCAGACATTCCTCTGCGCCGACAGTTGCCGAGAGACTGAACCGTGTGGGTGCTACCGGCCAACGTAAATATCGAGGCACTTCGGGAGCAGTCGCGCGGAGCGGGAGTTGGAAAGGGGCGTGGCTGTACTACCCGGCCGTACCGCAGCGAGGTACAGCCACTGGCAGTGACTGGCATGCTTCAGTCTCTCAGCAACCGTCGCCGTCGGCGCAGCGGAATGTCTACGCGTACAGAGCTCTATTCGGTTTAGCTACTTTTTCCAGTAGTGGTGTTCACTATAGGGTTCTCGATTGTCTCTCAGAGGTGCCTTGGTGTTTTGTCGTGGGTGTCAAGTGTCTCCAAAGTGGAAATTAGGTGTACTTCCAACTCTTCTGAAGGAAACAGGATATCTGTACAGGAAACTAGGTGAGCCTTGCATACTCATCTACTTGTGTGTAAGGGTTGGCATCCTGTTTTTTAAATAAATTGCTTGCACTGAGAAATTAGTCATATACTGAGATATATGGGAAAAACTAAAATTTGCCCAAATCGGTTTTATCTTTGTCTGACTTTATTTTAAGAAATGTAAAAAAACTAATCGCGCTATTTAGGCACTACATGATGGTGTTTTTAGAAAAGTGCTACACTGTATGTCTAATAGAAGTTTTTTCTACGACTTCAAAGATGCATCACGTTACATTTGCTTTTTAGTTATAAACAAACGTGTTTTTTTCTTTATATTTAAGTAGGCGTTGCAAACAAGTGCTTGACCACCCTGTAATACATTATTATAAATAGAAATTTACAGAAACGTGCAGTAATCTAACGTTCTTGTTAGTATTTTTATGTACTTACATTAATTTCTGAAAAATCTCAAAACTATTAGCAAGGCCTCGAATAAAAGAGTCCAAGGAATTGGTGATAGCAGAGGTAGCAAGATCGTCCGATGAGCTGGCAACGCCGCAATCCAGGTGACAAGTTTAACTCGGCTGTGGTTTAACTTTAAAAAATCATGTCTATCCCGGGGTAATGAAGGAGTCATTTAGAACGTAATGCGGCAGTAACCAATATTCATTTGCATATTTTTAAGTATTGTGCAATGATTTCGAGAAAAATTTAGTCTAGTAGAGTATATTTCAATAGTTGTCTTGCGTAGCCATGTTATCTTTACTCGGGCCTCTGAATTAAAAATACCGATCGTTTTTTGTGCAATGTACATATATATCAATAAAAATCAAGCATTTGATATGACGAATACGTTTCCTAATATCCTCGATGACCTTCTCCCTCATCATTTAAAATCAGGTGGACGTGTTTCTCCATTTATGATTTAATAATTTAACTCATTTTTCGGCATTGCGACCACTTTAAAATGACATGTCTGTTTTTTATGTGACCTGTCACCCGCTAGTACCTCACAGACGTTATGCGGCTACCCTACCACATTTAGATGACGTAACATCCGCCTTCTCATATTTCCGTTCTTCGCGAAAATTTGAGCATCGGTTCCCGGTGTGCACCGTGCTAAACCGTGGACTCGCGAAAATATCCTTATAATAGAGATTTTTTCGCGAGATCCCGTAGTGAACCGGAGCGGGAACAGATGGAATTTCCCCTTCCTCTCGAAGTTTTGACAGTTTCAAGTTACACCGCGAGTGGTTAGATGGCGCATGTTACGCAAAATGTTTGCTTTAAGCTTTTTGATAAACTTGGCTGTCTTGTTTGAATCTGAAATAAAAAGACCGATAGTTTTTTATGCAATGTACATTATATATCAATAAAATCAATCATTTGATATGACAAGCGCGGTTCATATATCTTCGATTACCTTCTTCCTCGTCATTTAAAGTCAGGTGGACATGTTCCTCCATTTATAATTTAATAATTTAACGCAATTTTCGGCGCTGCGAAGACAAATTTTCAATTGAGATGCCTGTTTTTAAATGAAATTGACATAAGACCTGTCACCCGCTAGTACCTCACAGGCGTTAGGCGGGAACCCGTACCACGTGATTTTTGACATTCGGTCGACGTCACATCCGTCTTCCCCTATTCCCGTTCTTCCCGAAAATTTGAGTATCGGTTCCCGATAGTGCACTGTACTACACCGTGGACTCGCGAATAAATCCTTAATGTAAATGCCGGAAAAGTGAAGTTGGCGTTTGTCAAACGTCAAGTCTTGTCATAAACCATGACAGGAAAAGGCGTCTTTTTGACCACAGAACACTATTAGAACCCAGAGCTATTCCAAGGCGGCTATGATGTCGCATATGGGGCGAAAGTTGGAGAAGTCAAGGGCAACAAAAACAACACAGTCATGATATTCACTAAACCCATATTTACTGAGATTTGTGTAGATAGAAAAAAATCCGATAACAGGTTAACCGTACATTAAGGAATAACCGGTTAATTAATTTAGAAAAACCGGTTATTTTTGCCCATCCCTACATGAGCTTATTTTACTGTTTCTAGTCTTCTTGGCTGTGCTTCTTGGGGTTTTTACGCGTTTGTTTTGTGGGTTTTTATAAATATGTTTTGTGGTTTTTATGGATGATGGATGGGGATATATAAAGCAGCTGACAGTAACTGTTAACCTAAAAAATTGAAAAATTTCATGAAAAACAGAAGAAATGCCATCCAAAAAGAAAAAGTACAATGCGCGATTTCCAGCTGTAAGTTTTGCAATATTTAAATAATAGCCTAAAATAGTAGCATTTCGTATTTTAGGGAAGGATCAAGAAGATAATGCAAACAGATGAGGAAGTTGGAAAAGTGGCACAAGCTGTACCAGTTATAATCTATATCCTTCAATACAAAACATAATGTGACAATTTAAATTGCTTGAACATATCCATACAAGTATTTATTAGATCTTTGAGATTCATTGATAGCATACTGTAACGCTAAAATGTCACAAAATGTAGTGACCACATACTTAGGAAAATATTCAAGCAAGAGTACAGAGTGTAAGAAAATGTTAAGATGCTCAAAGGGTTGAACATCGAGTTGAAGTCTATTTATGGAGATATGACAATATACCTTTTTTCAAATGCTCAATGAAGGCAACAAAATGCATGGCTGTTGACAACATAAGGGCCTTGAAAAAAATGTTTTCAGGTGCTTGATATTATTTTAGAATTATCTTTTAATTGCTCTTTACAAAACTGGAGATATGGCAATATAGTTAGTTGCACCACACACTTTTTTACTATAATTGATTTTTTTGTAACATCTAAATTTCTATATTGATTTTCTTCCCAAATATTTTTTTCCAAAATTTTAAATCCTAATTTTTTTCAAATTCCAATATTTCCAAATTCTCTCAAATTTCCAAATTTTCGAATTATTTTCTACTTTTTAGTTCGATCTATAATCAAATCCAAGCGAATAACCAAAATTTCTGTGTTATGTGCCGCGGTTATAATATGGTTCAAGATGACACACGGGTTGATGACGTCAGTTACCCGAATCGCTTGAACGCGTTGGTTTTAACCGCGGTTTTGTTGCAAGTTGTTTATTTTAGAAAAGCGCGTATATAATCTCTGATTTTATTATCACTTAATAATCGGTGCTTTTTCGTCTACAACTGTATATGGAAAGTTTAAATAAGTAACCTTTCTTAATATTCATGGGAGAAATGTTTTTTTTAAATTTTTTTTTTAATTATGGAACCATGGCTTTGTAGCTATGATAACTTTCAATTCTCTAAATTTTTCCGCATGTCAAAGAAAATATTTATTGTTTCAGCAGAAATGATGAAAAAAGAAATTAGCAAAACCGTATACAGGTGGATATCATCTAGTGAGTTTATATGGCCATATTTTAATATCCTTGTGGTATATGGCTACAAATGATACTTTGTTAAGCATAGGAACTAAAATTCTAACTTGTCACATTTCAAATAATAACCAGAAATATAAAACTACTCTTGAGTTGGGTAAATACCACAATTTTGCGGTGATAACTATGACATATAACAGCTGATTTGTGACGTCACGGATCTTATAACCAAACTGATAACTACACTCGCTTGAACGGATTGGTAAATACCAACCCAAAATGGTAAATACCATTTCCATTTGGTTATCCGCTTGAATTTGATTCATGATTAAACTTCATGTTTTTTAACCTATAATTTCAGAATTTTTCGTCTCAAAATGACAACAAATGTAAAATTCATTTTTTCAAAATTCACACATTTTTTCCAAATTTCTTAAAATTTTTCAAACTTCAAATTCTCGAAATATTTTCCGAATTTCTGAATTTTCGAATTATTATGAAAATCAATTTTTTCCAAATTCAAAAATTAAATTTTGTTTAATATTTACAGTTCGAATGTTTTTCCAAGATTATTGTATTGTTGCTTGACCCATGTGCAAATTTTTGAGTTATCGTTCTTGAACCCTTTGAAATTAGAGAAAATTAGTTTGAAATATTCATATATACACAGGTCAAGATAATGAAAGCCTTTCAAAAGTCATGCAGGCAGCAGACAAAATGGCATGATAAGGGTAATAATGAAGTATGCTGTAATATGATTATCCTTTATAATCTTAAAAATCTATCCATACAACTGTCCACTAAGAACATACAAACATCTAATTTTCCATTTCATAGATATGGCATTCTTTATTATACCAATAGTATACCTGTTGCTGAACTTAATTATAATTTTTTCCTTAACGCATACCCACCTCGCACCCTAGAGCTCTTTGTAGAGTCATTACTGACAAAGTCGATGCAGATAACATTAGCTCGTAACGCGAAGACATTGACACCTTCCCACATGAAGCAGTGTATATTGTCAGAGAGCCGATTCGACTTTCTGAAGGACTTGGTGAAGGACATTCCAGATGCCAGCATCCAGGAGGACAATGAGAACAACCTGCTCTGTGACGATGCTTCCAAAATGGGACCCAGCAGGGTAGAGAGCGAATCTGCTCCCGCACTTGTACCTTCACTTGAAAGAGCGGGCAATTCCAGAACGTCGAGAAAGGAGAAAAGGGAGGAAAGACGAACTAACGAGAGCAGGGTTGGAGCTGCCCACACTTGTTCTTCCAGTAAAAAGGTAATTTACTTTTTTTTGGACATTCAGCGTTTGGAGGTGTTATAAAAACATTCAGAAGGTATGACCCATCACTACTAATTAAAAAATGAACAAAGACTTACACAAACTATATTTAATTTTTTATACAGGGTGTTTCAGTTTATTGTTGCATAACTTTAAGATTCGATAGAACTTTTAAAATTAATGCATAAAGTGTATATAAACATGGGTCGAAAAATGCGTGGCTTCCGAAATACAGGGTGTTTAAATTTACTTTCTAAAATAGTTTTTTTTAAATATTTCGAACAATATTTGATGTATAACAGTGAAAATTGGTATACAAGGGTTTTTTGGTACGACAAAACGAACAATGGGCATAGTTTTACTGTAGCCGCTAGAGGGCGCTCTCTACTGTACTTGTAGTGTATTAAAATGACCGAAATTTTTTTCTTAGTGCAATTTTTTGCTTTTTGAATAAAAAAACTGATTCATCGCACTTTTCAACATAAAAAAGCTCTCCTGTGAGTTTTCGTTATAGTTAGCCGTTTTTGAGATATTTCGATTTTTAAGGTTCGATGCAATTTTAATATTTATGGGAAAATAATATTTTTTTTTACATTTTCGACTTAGGCATTACAAGTAATTAGGATGATCGTTTAGATTGTGTTTTTAAACACAGCAATAATTCCTAACTCCAAATAAACACACAAAAAACAGAATATTAATTTGTTTAATTTTCCAATATTATTTTTAACAAATTAAATTAATTATTTACAACTAAAATGCTATTGGATAGTTAGGACAAACATACAAAATCTAAAGTAGTTGCTCGAAATGTAAGCCCAATTGTTCAATACACAATTCACATCTACAAATGATCGAACGTGGTATAGCATTATTCAAATAAGGCCTTATTTCATCACATGCATTCCTGATTCTGTCTATTAGCATATCTCTTGTGGTTACGGGAGTCTGGTACACTTTTTCTTTTAGAAATCCCCACACAAAGAAATCTAATGGATTTAGGTTAGGGAATCGTGGAGGCCAGGCGACTGATCCTCCACGGCCGATCCATCTTTCTGGATAATTTTCGTCCAGCCAGTGTCTAACTATTCTCGAATAATGAGATGGACAACCATCAAGCTGGAACCAGGCCAATCTTCTTAAATCTAACATAACATCATTTCACATATTTGCATGTTCAGCCTTTAAAAATTCCAAGAAGGTTGCAGCATTTAACCTTGCAGGCAAAAGGTAGGGTCGAAATAGTCGATTACGGTAGATACCAATCCACACGTTCACACTAAATTCATGCTGAAAATTTCTTTCCCAAACTGCATGCGGATTTTCATGCGACCAAATATGTTGATTATGAAAATTTACCACTCCACGTCTAGTGAAGCATGACTCATCGGTCCATAAAACGTTACTTAAAAACTCCCTATTATTATCAGTTCTATCAAGAATCCACTGACAAAATGTGATTCTTCGTTCTCCGTCCCCTGGCTGTAGTCCTTGCACAGGTTGCAAATGGTAAGGACGTCTATGGTCATTTCTAAGAACACGGTGAACATGGCTTGCTGAAATTCCCAAGGCACCAGAAACTCTCCTAACACTTGTGGTCGGATCTCTATCAAACTCACACAGAATCATACTGGTAAATCTGCGCTGACGAACATTTATGTTTTGATCCCTTTGGAGATTTCCAAAACCATTTTCAATTATTTGGCGATGCACTCTTACAAATACTAAGCGAGTTGGATGTCGTCTGTTTGGAAATCTTCGTGCGTATTCTCTGGCTGCTTCTGCTGCGTTTCCATTTACTCTTGATTGGAGAATAAAAATGGCATTTTTATAAAACTTACAAAAAAAAACAGGTAAAAGAAACTAAATTTCGTGCATTCACAATTGCAAAAAAACGTTTCAGGTTTCAACAGACAACAAAACTAACTGTCAACTAATTGACGTTTAACCTTATTCTGCTTTCAATTTCAAAAATATTTGCAGGCACAGCCTACTTCTAAAAATTATCGAGATACTGACTTTTTAACGTTATTTTATCATAAATAATAAAAAATGCATCGAACCTTAAAAATCGAAATATATCAAAAACGGCTAACTATAACAAAAAATCACAATAGAGCTTTTTTATGTTGAAAGTGCGAAGAATCAGTTTTTTTATTCAAAAAGCAAAAAATTGTACTAAGAAAAATGTTCGGTCATTTTAATACTCTACAGGTACAGTAGAGAGCGCCCTCTAGCGGCTACAGTAAAACTATGCCCATGGTTCGTTTTGTCGTACCAAAAAACCCTTGTATACCAATTTTCCCTGTTATACATCAAATATTGTTCGAAATATTTAAACAAAACTATTTTAGAAAGTAAATTTAAACACCCTGTATTTCGGAAGTCACGCATTTTTCGACCCATGTTTATATAGACTTTATGCATTAATTATAAAAGTTCTAACGAATCTTAAAGTTATGCAACAATAAACTGAAACACCCTGTATATTGAAGCAACCGTGAAGGAAAGTCTCTGTACTGTAGTTGTCTTAAAGAAGCCGAAAATGTCATGTCAACATAACTGATGTTAAAGTCAGAAAAATTGAGGTACAAATTAACAATTGTACCATCCTGTTCTCATGTACAGACCACAACCAAGTTAGATTGAGGAGAGTTTCACTTTCTATCATTTTATGAAAAACTTCTGATTATTTTTTTTGAAAGCTTCCCATACAAAAAAAATTGAAATTGAGAGTAAACAACCATGGATCACAAAAGAATCAAACATATCAAATATTTATTATAAGAACAATATTAGTTACAACATAGGGAAACGCACAGCTTTAAGCAGTTACTTTGTCTTATTTGATAGTAGATTGAGATATAGCATATCCTTATGGTGTGTCTGTTCCCAAAGTTGTTTAAAAAAGACGAACTATTAGATACATAACTAAAATAAAACCTAAAGCTATATGCAGACCTTTATTTTAAAATCTTACAATCATGACTGTCGTATCATTATTTATTTTTGAAACAACAACTCCTAGTTTTAACGACGAAAACAAAGTCCTAAATTAGTAGTACCTAAATCAATATTTGTGAAAATTTCAACCATTTATAATGTTCTGAAAATTTACATATTCCTCCCTGATGATATCAAAAGTATCAACAAATTAAAGATATTTCGCCATGAACTTAAAAAGCTTCCTTATTTGAGGAGAAGAATCATTGTTTTATTCAAACAATAAAGCATATTTAACGAACTATCTATCTAACAATATACTGGTTTTTTAGCTGGATAGAACATTAGATAAGCCTACAACGTCTTCTAGCAGTAGTACCAGCACTAGCCGAACTCCCGTAATCCAATATGGACCCAGTGTGGCACAAGCAGAAAGCACCAAGCTCAGTTTCTCAGTAGAAAGTCTACTCAGCCAGCCATCAAAACCTGACAGTACTGATATGCGTCTTACAGTTGCTATTCCAAGTTGCTCAACTAGCGGTGGAGGTATAATCTCATCTACGCCAATTCCAGGTAAAGCGAATAATGAACAGGGAGTACCAAATTTGCCTGAAGGCTTGAGTTCAATGTGTACTAAAGCTCATATGTTAGAAAGAGATAGAAGCCGGCTGAAGGTCGTGCAATCTGCAGTTGCCAGAAAAACAACCTAAGAAGGAGGTCTGTTCGAATATTTGATTTAATATTCTGTTTACATTTTTATTAGAATTATTTATTTCAATTTTGGTGCGACGTGGTGTTTCAATTTATTTTAGAATTATCTTTGATTTCCACCGATGGTGATAAAATGAACACGTCAGGGATGCTAGGCAATCGAAGATGAGCTTCGCTGTCCAGCCGCCTATCTCTTTCTATACACACTTCTCTCTCGTACACATTGAAATCAAGCCGTCAGACAAATTTGGTTCTCATTATAGATATAGGTCAATTAAACCCTACAGAGTGGAAAAATTCCATCTCTTATGATGGTCCGTTCGTCTGCTCACAAACAGCCTCTGCAGAAACCTTATGGGGAATGGCTCTCGGCTAATTTAGAGCGTTGTAAATCTCGACACGTAGAACAAAAGTATCCATAGTTTGTCCACGAGAAGTTTCCGAGATTATTGGTCTCTAAGTTGGATAGTTCGTATCCTATTACAGTCTCAGTACAAGATACATAACATATCTGCTGTTTTATATGTATTTAGTTTCTTCGTCTATTCGTCATTGTTTGTCGGAGCAGTCTTTAGGACCTTTTCTCTTGGTTAAAGTATTGTAAGTCATTAGATCTGCGAGCTCTGATTGCCTAGATAGTCAGGGATAAAGAAGGGAAGAAAAAAAAACAGGAATGAAGGAGGGGGAGCAAAGAGGAAGAAGAGCGTCGATTTGAAGGGTGCCTTAATATTTTTAGCTAGTATTCAGGAATTTTAAACTGATCCTAAGATTAGTTAGATAAAGATCTTGCATAGGGATCTCAATACAGGGTGACTTGTAATGTCACGTATTCCTGCTAAGGGGTGATAGATTAGGTCAAAAGCAACCGATTTTGTCCTATAATGCCCTATCCAGAAGTTAACCGTTTTTGAGTTATTTGAATTTTATTTTTTTATTTTTTATTCCGATTTCAGACGGTTAAATTTGAAATACAAAAAAAACTACATGTTCGATTTTGAGTTTTTTGTTATCGTCGCATAGTGGACATTCCAATAGTTCATAATAAGTAATAAAATGTTGAAAACTTACAAAAGTTTTAAAATTACGCTTTTGAAATGTATGATTTTCTTATTTTTTTACTAACTTATTCGATAAAAAATGCAATTTTCAGTAAAAAATCTCCTAGTAATGAAATGTGCAAATTATGTAAATAATATCTCTATCTAACAAGCTTTCATTTGAGGTATAAAAGTTACAACTAACTCAAGTACAAAGACATAAAGTTAAAAAAAGATGAGTAAAGTTGTACGAACGATAATTACGTAGGATAAATAAAAGGCTTTTATTTTAATTACAGTTTTATTTAATTACATTTCCTTTAGTACTTTACAGATTCTGCTCAAATTGTAATCCCCTGTTACGAATACACGCCCGCATTCTCTTACGTAATTCACTTTTGGTAACTCTAGTTGTTAAGCGGCTTTTTATTTGGTCAGCTGCACTGATTATCCTTGTAATTAATTCATCGCGCGTTAGTACGGGCGAAACATCATACACCAGGCTTTTCATATGTCCCCACACATAGTAATCCATCGGTCTGAGATCTGGGCTTCTTGCTGGCCAGGCAATGGGCCCGCCTCTGCCAATCCATTGATTTGGAAATACGCCCGTACTAATCTACTGTAGTGTGCGGGACAGCCGTCGTGCTGGAACCGCATATTTTGTCTCGTCGCCAATGGGACGTCTTCCATTAATGGAAACAAGTGATTTTTCAAGAACCCTTCATACACTTCTCCATTTAAATTGGCGGGCAGAAAATAAGGTCCAATTAAATATCCATCAATGATGCCCATCCACACATTGACTGAAAACCGGCTCTGAGACCCCGTCGGTCTTATTTTTCGGGGGTTTAAAGCCTCTTTATCAGCCCAGTAATGAGCATTATGGTAGTTAGTGATCCCGTCCTTATCAAACTTCGATTCATCGGTCCACAGAATTTTCTTAAAATAGTCTGGATCTTCTGTATCTGCATGTAACATGTACCTGCAGAAATCTGGTCGTCTTGCAGGATCGCCTTCTTCAATCACAGGCGTGTAGTGATAAGGGTGTAATCTTGCAGTATGCACAGTAAACCACAACATACTTTGTATTGTGATATACCCAACTGAGCAGCCACAATGCGCGTAGACGTAGTAGGGTCTTCCTGAAACACACTAAGGATTTCCTCTTCATCTTCAAGAGGATAGACTTTTGGTCGACCAGCATCACTTTGTTGCCTTTGAACACGTCCGGTTTGGCGGATGCGCCGATATACAGAGTCAAACGCAGTAACATGAGGTGTACGGCGATTCGGGAAACGTTGCCGATATTCACGGCGGGCAGCTGCAGAATCGCCGTTACGAAGTCCATAACAGAACATTATGTCTGCGTATTCTTCATTTGTAAAAGTTTGCCCGTGCTCGCTATGGCGAGGTCCTGGCGGATCTTCTGCGTCTGCCATGATGATAAAGAAACCACTCGAAATGAACTGGGGAAACTCGAAAATAATAATCGTGCGTAAAACGTGTGCGCGTACGCAGTAGTTGATACCAACTAAACCTAATTCTCACTCGGCGTGCGGCGATGGCATAACTACAATGATGAATAATAACAGCTCTCTCTCTCTCACTCCTCCACTAAGTCAGCTCTTCTCGCTCGCTTCCTCGTCGAGCCGATGCCATAAAACAATCATGGCATGCGAGTCCTTTGAGGACAGTAACGACTTGTTCAAACAGGTAATACAAATTCCTTAAAAATCCAGCATCTGTGGATGTCATTGTTGTTTCTCTGCATGTACTTCAGATAATTGAACGCTTAATACCTCAAATGAAAGCTTGTTAGATAGAGACATTATTTACATAATTTGCACATTTCATTACTAGGGGATTTTTTACAGAAAATTGCATTTTTCATCGAATAAGTTAGTAAAAAAAGAAAATGATACATTCAAAAAGCGTAATTTTAAAACGTTTGTAGCTTTTCAACATTTTATTACTTATTATGAACTATTGTAATGTCTGCTATGCGACGATAACAAAAAACTCAAAATCAAGCATGCAGTTTTTTTGTATTCCAATTTTAACCGTCTGGAATCGGAATAAAAAACTTAAAATTCAAATAACTCAAAAGTGGTTAACGTTTGGATAATACATGATAGGACAAAATCGGTTGCTTTTGACCTAATATATCACCCCTTAACAGCAATTCGGGACATTACAAGTCCCAAGTATATGTGGGAAATATTGCTTAAATCAGGAAAAAGTTGCGTTCTTTGGGGGCGTATTTACAAGCCACTGAGAAACTTCATGGCAAAGGATATCAAAAAACAAATGAATCTTTTTCATTGTCACTTTTTAGGCCCTACATGATGGTGTTTCTAAGTTTTGTGCCTGATGGTCCGAAATAAAGTACACCCTGTATCTATTAGCATTCTTTATACGAATTCAACGTGGTATCACATGTTACGTTTATTTTCTTGGTTATGAGGAAAAATGAGTTTTTCAGATTTTATCTCTTTTTTTAAGCCGGGCGGTCATTTTAGCAATGAAGGAAAGTTCGACATGCTGACGTGCTACATTTTGTGCTACAAAAATACTACAGAAATGTGTTACTACGTAGAAGGATACTGTCTGTTACTCCATCTAAGACAAACTTGAAATTTGTAGTAAGATCATCACAGGGTGTAGATTTTTCCGATTTTTTAAGTCTATAACTTGAAGTACACCACTTATATTTTTTTATATATGTTTCTGATAACTATTATCACTTGGCATTTCGCCGTTTCCGGCTTGACGTCGATTTCCTTTTTACGGCTCGGAATTTTTTCGTTGCTTCAATCGGTACCTGTTGAGCGTGATAAAGTGCGTTATGCATCGCCAATATTAGTCTTGCTATCCATATAACTATGGAACCATAACTGGTTTACAACAAAAACAATTTTTTATCTCCAAATAACAATGTAAAACACATTTACGTTTAGTGGAATAACGTCAACACAAAAGCAATAAAAACTGGAATAGTGATATATAGTCATCGAAACAATATGGTTTTAGATCTATTGAAAAATTGTGTACTTGTCTCTTAAAGAAATTCAAAATTATTTACTTTTTTGGATGACGATGATTGAACATTTTCAAAATATATTCTACATTCCTTTTTGGTGACAGTGAATAGGATATATGTAATTGAAATTTCTAGTGTTATAGTTATTCACTGGCGGATACTTTTCAAACGCGAGCAGGTTTTTAGAGACAAACAGATAACTCTTGTAAATAAATAGCTGTTATATGTTATATCATTAGATCTAAATTTTCCTTAGCATTTTTAGCATACATCTCACATCTCTTTTACAAAGTCGATTTATATAAATGCTTTGATCATAAAAAAATACTCCATACCTAAGGATAGATTCAAAATTAGAACGATAGATAATTTTTAGAGTATCAAAATCAAGATTTTATTATTATTATTTGAAACCTGCAGACCATATCATACACTGCATAACTTATTTTCTGTTTTTTATTTATATTCCGACCATTTGATCACTTCATCTATACAGGTATGTACTTTAAGAAATTTGTTGTTATGTCTTTTAAGTTTTGCATATGGAAATAAAACAACACGGTGGGTAGTTTTAAATGACTATTGTTTTTCGAAGTAATCTCCACGAAGATTAATACACATCTGCATGCGCTCGAACCAATTTTCGAAGCACTTATTCCACTCGTTTGCTGGCAGATCCAAAACGGCATTTTTGAGTGCGTCAACTGCTTCTTCTGGTGACTGGAACCTTTGACCACGCAGTCTGTTTTTAATTTTCGGGAAAGTAAAGAAATCGTTAGGACTTAGATCGGTCTATATGGAGGATGGTTAAATAATTCCACGTTTTCTTCCGTTAAATACTGCTTTGTTTTTTGGGCTGTGCGAGCTTGCATTGTCTTGGTGGAGGATGATTCTTCTTTCGGGGTTGATTTTTCGAAGCTCGGTGATGACTTTTGGCAAACAAATGGTGGTATACCAATCCGCAGTAACAGTTCTTTGCTCATTAAGAGGAATTGTTGCAATTTTGAGACAAATGTCGCGACCGTCTGTTTCGAAACACTTCGAGAACGGATGACTTTTGTTGGCTTTTCTTCACCTTGGAACCCAAACAGCAGACTGTCGTTTATTTTCTGGTTCATAACAGTAAATCCACGATTCATCACCACTAACATGCTGTACAGATTTATTGAGTTTCCGGAATTGAAACGGTCAAGCGTTTTTTGACACCAATTAACCATGGCTGTTTTCTGCTCTTCAGTCAACAGGTGGGGTATCCATCGAGAAACTAATTTTCTTACTCCTAATTCTTAATGTAACATTTTTTTATTGAGGTCTTTGAAATCTTCAAGGACGCCTCAATCTCGCGATATGTCACATGTCTATCTTCAATGATGAGTTTGCGCACAGCATCGACGTTTTCCTGGGTGACTGCCGTTTTTGGTGCACCCACCCTGGGATCGTCGCTAAGACTCACCTGTCCACGTTTGAATTCTCCATACAAACGGGAAATTGTCGACTGATGTGGCGCTTCGTTGCCGTAACTCAGCAAGGCATTCTTGTTGCGATGATTATCTCTGAAAGTTGTAATAAATTATCGCGCGAAAATGTCCTCGGTTGAGTTCCATTTTTCCAATGACTTGGTGACACTTAAAAATTCACTGTAGTGAGAACACTGCACCTATTGTTGTGAAACTTTGAATTTAAGTTTACTAAACAGTGAGGTTAAGATTCAGTACTGACGTTCGATCCGCGCGGCCTACTATGTTTCTATATGCAAAACTTAAAAGACTCGTACTACAATTCAAGATCTATTTTTTTTTGTCAAAGCTATTTTACTAGCTTGAATACAATTGGAATACTTGAAAATCATTTGTTTAATGCATTTGACACTAATTTGTTCTTTGTAAAGCATTCAGAAACTCTTTGAAAAAAGCGAGGCTATTCAGACTCTCCTCGGTGTTTTCTACATTGTACATTTATCAGAATACCAGTATCATATCGATATTGAGACATAGATGCTTCACAGGAATAATCAAGATCTAATGATAATTGTAGACAAATACTATAAATAAAGTTACTACATTTGATACATTTGATTTAGCAGTATTATCATTTTTAGTAATCAGTTGCAAGAGATAAGATCGAATACACTTTAAAAAACTTCCACAATTAACAATGTATTTCCGTTTTATTTCAGGTGGAATAACTGTTCCTCCGATTTCAGGAGGAATAGTGCCAAGTCACTCTAATCCTGGCCTAAATTTGACCACACACTCTTTAGGGGTACCTCCGCCCTTGGTTCCATTTATGCAGCCATACGGGAGTTCCAATTCGTCGGCTGGAGATGCCCTTTGTATAGATGAAGACTACGATAATTAGCGGTAAGTGTGGAATACGACTAGGTGCTCCCTACCACTACCTTCAGTCATTAGAATAAAGTACCAAGTAACGGGGTAGGAGACCTAAATAAGTTTAAAATTTACAATGCTTCCATGACGCTCTTCCACTCTTTGCATTTTTCATTCTTTTTCTTTTTTTTTGTGGGAAGGCGGAGCAAAAAAATGAATCTTGGTGGTGGTGTGACGACTTTCATCGACATTCTTAGTGAACAACAAGAATGACGTCTAATGCCACATCCAATTGACGTCATTATATGTGTATGACGTCATAGTATGCCGTATAAAAGAACGAATATTCTTTTTTTTTTCAGGTCCTTAGATGAGCGTGCGTGTCACTGTCATTGTACATTAGTAAGTTATAATTAACGTGATAAGTCTGCCGATTTACCTAAAATATTCCAGCACAGGGTAAATTATAATACACTTTGAAGCAACATAACTATGTAGTCTTGCACTTCGGACAGCAAAAATGCTCATAAAAAAAACATATAGAATCAAAATAATAACGATGGTGCAACAAATACTTGATCCTAACCCATTTTGTATTGTATTTGAAAGTCGGTCTGCGTTAGTATTTTAATTTGATTTGTGTACTCTTATCATTTTCAACTGACGGAAAGTGCGAGATCTTTGGAGATACTTTCATTTTATCAAATAAGTTATGCCCAGCTTTTCAATGGCAGGGTAACTAACAAATTGCGATGTCCTTACTTATAGGTAGTCTTTTGTATTATGGAAAATATAGTAATGCTTTTATAAGAGAAAACATATGCTAGCATTTGCGTGCCCTGAAACACAGTAAAATACTTAACTCAAGTTTAACCTCACTTTATGTATTTTTCTTTTCATTTAAAGTAATCAGCATATTAGATCCAACAATTTATCTACAGAATGCAGTTTATGCCAAAACTCGTTAAAAGAAAAAGACGTTCCTTAAAGTAGTTTTGCATTCTTTGATTATATTTCTTTTTATGGTATAATTTGGCAGACGTCTGAACCAATCTGCTGACAATGATAAAGTGCATTAAGATAGTCACGGGGGTACTTGCATTCTTCAAGGTGATTTAGGACCGTATCGTCAATTCATTGCCTTTATGGCCTCCTTGATTTTCATAGCTTTCTACTGTTCCATGTCAGCGCTCTATTTTGAGGTTATGTTACAAATATCTGTTTGCATCAAATTTTTGATTTATATCATCTGCTATATTAGCCTAAAATTTCTTACAGTCCGAAAGCAAAACATAGACTCACAAAAGGAGACTGCTGACGCTGACACGGAACAGTAGAATTCTAGAAATACACCAGCCTTTCAGAAGGAGAGAAAATACTATGAGAATCAAGGAGGCCATAAAGGCGTCCTACATTTGTAGGAACGACTGACGATACGGCTGCTAAATAAGAATTTTCTCTCTGTAGGCAGCCCTTTTTCTGTTAGCAGAATTCTTCATTTGAACCATGTATTTACTGGATTAGATAAGATCTAGAATAGGATCTGGACCTAGTACATAATCTGTACCGGAATCAAAACAAAACTTTTTAACGTGGCATGTGCGCTTTTGCTGTCCGACGTCATTAATATCGATATTACTTTTAGGAGTCCATTAAATGTACATACATATTTATTGTTACATGTACACTTTGAATGTGATATTGCGCATTATTGATTTATGTGACAATAACTGTTCATCTAAGCGTTCATATAGAATTATTTGGTCCATAAAATGTGATACAACTTTCTCCTTTTTCTAGTGTTCAATGTCTCACCGCATTTTATGTGATTAGATATTGTAGTTATTTCGTGTATTTATATTGCTAGAACGTAAATAACCAAAAATAGTCTTTTTGTACTCATTAGTATTTTTCACCACACAAAACTCACAAACACAGCAGTACGAGAGATGTCTTATTCCTAATTTCTTATTTTTGGGATTATTGATGAATTTGTTAGCCTTTTAGATATTGTTACAGTTACCTACTAAAAATTAACTATATATTGATGAAGTAAATTATTACGTTGTTCTTATTTAGAATATACGAGAGCTGAAAGTGACTTGCTGCTATTTCCGGTGTTCTCGTGTAGGAGTTCAGCGGCCCACAACCTTCGTTAGTGAAATAATTTCACACCCAGTGCTGCGTTTTTCCGGGTTGTGGAGATTGATAGGAATCGGTCTCCTTCAGTGACAGTTCCCCTCTATGCTCTACACTGACGTGAGTCCTACTTCAAGATCGCCACGGTCTATCAATGCAAACAGTTGCCTCCTATAGAATTAGAAATCATGTTGAGAAAATGAACACGCGGCTTGGAGAAAATGGTCACTTACCAGCCTGATGGTTTAGCGTAGCTGTGACAACGGCTAAATCCCCGAGAGGGCCCCGACAACAAAATTCACCAAAGCAGGCCGATTTCTATCAAAGTCTCCACAACCCGGAAAATGCCCAGAACTGGGTGTGAAATTAATTCACTAACAAAGGTTGTGGGCCGCTGAACTTCTACAAGAGAGCGCCGGAAATAGCACAAATAGCAAAGTCACCTTTAGCTGGCGTATTTACGGTCGACAGAAATGATAAAAAATGACATTCAAAGAGATGGAGACTAGAGTACGATTTTCTACCATAAAATTATTACCAAGATAAGTGTTTTGTCATAAAAATAAACTCGTTTTTTTAACAATTAGAAAATTATTATTCTAAATAAGAAAAGCGTAATAATTTACTTTATCAAGAAATAGTTAATTTTTAGTCCACCATAAAAATAAACTGTAACAAGATATAAAATCATCAAATCATTCTTTGAAAGATCCTGATGACAAAACCTTTTTACAGAAGTACAATACGTAACATATTTAAAATAATGTAAAAGGGCTGCAAAATAATTTCTGGAACGAGTATTATGTAAAATATAACAATCGCATGTTGTCAATGAAGAACATTATTTGGTGTGTTTATATCTCCCTCTTGTACCAGCTCCAGTTTTGAAAACCGTGATTCACACTTTCCTTTATTAACGACATTTCATATAAACATATATTAATAGTATTTAAGTATTGTTTAAGAACACTTCATTGCCTCATGTGACTGAATCGAATTTAATCAAGTCTTGCACAGTGCATTTTGAATATTTTATATTACAGACACATTTTTTTGTAACCTGTTAACAAAGAGTAGTTATATACAGAGAATACAGCTAATGATTCTTCTCATTTATTATCATTATAATATTTTGGTATTCCCTCCGAGATTAACATTCTGACTCATATTGAATATTTGAAGAGTACATGAGTAGCAGCCACTGATGATCTTGAATCTCTCAATCAGGTCGCCTCGCAATCTTCGCTCAGCGAGTGCTGTCAAATTCATTTCCCTTAAACGTTTTTCATATGGCAAAAGTCGAATCTCTGGTGGAATTCGCGTTTTTTACGTTGCAATATTTCCAGTACTTCGATATGTCTTTGACAAAATGAGGACTCGATGCTCTGTGTGTATGTTCCAGTTTTGGTCAAATTTACATCTTGTATAGCTTTTCTATCATAGCAGAATGGTTTTTAAAATCTTATTCAGTCAAATATATGAGTGAAATCTGAAATTAAATGTTAAAACTAGTCAAATATTTCGTATTTTGATGCTAAACTGCAAATTTGCCGAGTTTGCTGTTTAGCATCAAAAGAAAACAGACGAAAATATTTTTACAATCGACTTCCCTGCTATAATGCAGATGACGTGTCTTCTCTTGATATAACCACACTTTGCTGTTAAGTAAAGAGAGGAAGGGGGAGAATAAACAGTTTTATATTTGCCTAATTTTCAGTGTTCTCATGCGGTTAGATTTAAATAAAATAAACGTCAATAGAATATTTTTGTTTTATAAAATATATTCAAGCGATAGTAATTAAAACATAAAAACATGGTCGATGTTCGGTGGGCTAATTTTCTGTCGTGAAATGGTGTGGTTCAGAACAACTAGAACTGTTCCAACATTTATCAAATTCTCCTTGTTTTGAGGAGTGGTGTCCTTGATGTATATTCAATGACCATGAACCAATATTTGTGTACCATAATTGTCCTGAAAATCATTCATTCGTTAAACGAAACACTCTAGAATCATCACTTTCTGAGTTTTGTGTTTTAGTTTTAATCCATCCCCATATTGTTTCTATGTTTACAAGAACCAAAGTCAGAATGCTGTTATTATACCATATTCGTTCATTACTTTGTAAATAATCACTTATACAATGAAAAACGCCAATATTAATTTTATTCAGTGGGATTAGATGCAGCTTTTGGTAGTGCATTTCATGACCATCTTATTAAAAAATGTCAATATTGCAATCAATCTCTTATATCCGTTTTACATCGATAATTTCTTCACTAATTTATTCAAATGGATTTCTTCATCGTCATCCTATGTTTTGCGGTGCTTATATCAGTGGACAAATTAAGGGATTATCTGTCAGTACTCAGTGCTGCCAACAAATTCTTGCTAGAAACATTTTGAGCTTTTATATAAACAGGAACCAATTGTTAAATATTGTTGTTTTACCAAAGTTATCATTTATGCTTAAATTGAAAAGTTGTTCAGTATAATGGAAAGAAAAGTAAGTCCAACTTAGTAAAAATTAGAACAAGTTCTGATTTTGTGAAGAAATTATCGAACTTTATGGATTTAATTGACGCCAAACTCCTGTTCTACAGTTTTGAAATTTTCACCATTATTTCCACCGCCATCGGCCATATGACGTTGACGTTTGTGCATATGTCATGTATGAGAGGCCGGATTGGAGATTCTTAATAAGTATAAAACAAAAAATAACAATAGTAAGCTAAAAAACAATAAATTGTCAATACTTATAAAAAATAAAAAGTAGTAAATCAAAAAAAAACTATTCCATGTAATTATATAAAACAAATAACAAACAGTGAAATACAAAGGATTTTTTTATAATTAAATGGAATTGTTTTTTATTTTACTACTGTATTTACTTTTTGTTTTTTGTTATCACTCAGAATAGGTTTCTATTTTACTGTTTAATTTTTGTCTTTTATAATTACATGGTATTGTTTTTTTACTTTACCACTGTTTTTATTTTATGTTTTTTATAATTATTTACAATTCATTGTGTTAGCTTACTACTTTTATTTTTTGTTTTATACTTATTAAGAACCGCTTTTTATTTTGCTATTGTTTCAGTTTTTCCTTTTTGTGTTTCATTGATTAATATAAATGTTCATATATAGATTTTCCACTTTTCATTTTCCCTAAATGCGGAGGTTAATCCGGCAACACCGCAGACAAGCGCCTGTCATATATGACATATGCACAGACGTCAACGTCGTCATATGGCAGATGGCGGTGTGAATAATGGTAGAAATGACTGCTAAAAATACGTCTTTTGGGGAAAAAATGCATGAAAAGCGTGCTTCATCCACACTTTTTTTTTTAAATAATCAATCAGACTACCCTCTAGAAGTTTCAAGTGAAAAAACAGTGAAATCCGAAGTTCTACAAGACGCAACAGTACCCGACAACCCATAATATGAGCACTATGGTTTAGCTTACAATTATTGTAGCTAAAATAACTGCCTGTTATGTGTTCACGGTTCAAAAGTGCACACGGATCAAGAGGAAGGGAGGAGACTTAGCTTGGTGCAAGAAGACTAGAGATGGGAGGTTACTCTGCGTAAGGGATGCACGTATTCGTATAAAGCCAATTCTGTCGCCGAGGAGGGCGTGGCTATCGAAAATCTAGTGCGTGTAAAACATGGCGTCGAGCGCCTGCTTCATGATGACATCAATAAAGAGAGATGTCACATGCGCAGAACTTGAAATTCTTACTTAAGAATTGACACTTCTAGCGTCACCTCCACTCTACGAGTTTAACTTAGTTTAACTAGACGATGCTTAACATCCGGCTATTTCTTTTTCTTGCTGACTTCATTGTCAGATCGCTTCCCTTCCTCTCAGTGACCGTGCACCATAATACTTCATATATACGTCGAAGCAAAAATATTTTTTTCTTGCATTTTTTAAGCTATATTTTCTTCACCATTTTAAAACCCATTTCTATGAAAAGTTTGTATTACTTTATGATACTTTATACTCGTTTACTCTCACTTTGGTTTTTGTTCCAAGGAAAATATCAAATGCATACAAATTATTCCTTACGTATTATTATATCATCTGATCGAAAAAAAATTGAGCAATAATTGTTGAGTGTTGTTTTCTGATGTCCAGATAAATTTAGAATATATTTGTCATACCTTCAATGTAAAAATAAATGAATAAATGTATACTTGTCATCTGGTTATTTTATTTACAAATTTAGTTACAATTCGGAGAAGAGTAAAATATCTAGGAATTATCCTGGACTTCAAACTGAACTGGAGAGAGCTTGTTGTGTACAGGGTGGCCAACTAAGAATGCTAGGTACTGTATCTGGGAACCTATCCAGCGTAGAGGCTTGCGGCAAAAATAATTACTAAAACTAAAAACAAAGACAAACCTGGAAAATATTTTCATGTTTCTGGGGGCGTAACTGTAATCTTGAATCTAAAAAAGTGATGTTTCTGTGAACTCCGCTATATAAAACTAACAAAAAATACGTGATCTTTAAATTCGAGGATAATCTGAACCTTTTTTGTTTGACATTTTTTGCTGTATCTCTAAAAATAAAGTGGTGGGGGCTTGCGAAAACCGGATCTCGATATACCTTGTTCCTAATCGAAAATTTAGGCCAAAGAAAGTTTTATACGGAAATCCCTTAGATTTTTATTTTTTTAAACTAATTTTTCTGGAATTTCCTTATTAAGTTGTGGCCCTAAAAAGGACGGATTTAAAAAGAAAGGTTTTAATGCTCCGTATATGCTCGAATTGCTGACCATCACGCTCTATGCATTCTTGAAGCTTTTCATGGGTAGACAAAACTTCAGCTTCAATTTCGGCTCTCGATATGTCACGAATTGCATTACGAAACCAGTTTCTCATATCTTCTCTGGTTGTACGTTGAGTCTAAAGCACTATGTCCTTTAAACGTCCCCTTAAATAAAAATCAAGACAAGTCTGGTGATCGCGAACGTCATGGAAACAGACTTCCTCCTCTAGTCTGTCACTGTTGAAATACTGCGTTAATATGCTGTCGCACAATAATAGCAACATGTACTGGGCAACCATCCAACTGCAAAAACAAGTTTTGCCGTCTTTCCAGTGGCACTTTTTCCAACCACAACGGTAAGTGCTTGTTCAAAAAGTCAAGAAAGACACTGCCAGTTAGGGATTGCTTGAAAAAATAAGGCCCAATAATTCTGCCTCCCAGTATGCCACACCACACACTTAATCTCTAACCCCCTTGGTGCTGAACTTCACGCAACTAGTGCTGTTTTTCTGCAGACCAGTAATGCATATTGACTCTCGCGTCACTATTAAAGGTGGATTCATCGGTCCAAGGAATTTGAAATAAAAATTAGTTTTGCGTATCATGTCTAACATCCAATGGCAATTGTCCAACCTCCGAACAAAGTCTTCCTCTATCAATGCTTGAGCAAGGTTGATCGGATCACACCTAAATATCGCTTGACACTCCGGACAGCTCGGTCACTGAGGAGGGCTCTGGTGCCAGAGTCTTTGGGCCTATCTCTGCCTCTCGGTGGACACACCACTAAGTTTTTGAAAACAAAAAAAGTAAAAAATCGTAACTTTGAACATAACCTGTCTTCCGAAAGGACAACATATAAATGACCCGTCGGGCACAGCTAATAGATATACTTCATTGGCAGCATATTCAGTAATGATCGTCTCACTGATTTTATACACATGCAGACCAATACACACAATCATGCAGATGCGATCTTGCTATTCAACCAAATAACAAACTTTAGAGACTCGAAGATGAAAACTATAGGCCAATCGGCTTCACAAAACATATGCAACCAACAATGCGTGTACGTGTAGTTGAGCCATTCCTCCATAGATGGACGCTCAAAACGATTCTAGTAAGCAAACGTGGAATGACTGTTCGCACCCTAAAACTACCTAGTATACAAGATGACATCTTATAGGTTCTTTTTGACGTTTTATAGGTTTTAGTGTGGGTACCGGAGCACGCGGGTGCGGGGGCAAATATATGGCGGACGCTTTTGCGAACGTCTGAAGCAAAACCTGATAGCGCACCGTTGCTCGAAACTGATGTCATTCACTTTTAGAACACAATAGGAAGAACTGTTTCACAAAAAAAATCGCTACGGACAACCAAAATGGCTCGAGCGAGTTCAAACTTGTACTGACGAGTTGCCAGATCGAACGCTACGTTGCCAGTTTCATCACACAATTTGCAAGTTCAGTGTCAGTCACTAGTGACTGATGAAATGGTCAATGTGTTAACATGAAGAAAACTGAAATATCAACAATTTACGCAGATAAAGTATGTAGAATACTTGTTTTCGCAAATATGGTAATAAAATCGATAAATTACCAGATGTGTTACAAATATCAATTTTCCACTAGTTATTTCCATCTTATAAAGTCATTTTCAAGGAAATGTTTACCTTCACAGCTGGGGTACTGGACAGCAACAAATTAAGGTCTATATGTAAATATTACCGAGAAACATCGGTATTTCAAATGTTATGTTTTCTTTATTTGAGATATGAATTGGATTGGGTAAATAGTCAGTCTATAGAGGAGATTGACTATATGTCATCAAAATATAAAAATAAATTTAAAGGAAATAAATACGTGGTCGGCCCGATAAGTACTTAGGCTACAAAAGAAAAACGAAAATTTTGGAAAAGTGGTGAGTTATTTCTCAATGAAGTCTCCTTTTATCTCGATACCCTTCACCCAGCAATGGTCCAACTTCTTTAACCCGTCTGAAAAATACGTTATCTCGAGGTCTGCATAGTAGGCGATAACCTCCTCATTCGACTCAAGTTTCTGCCCGACGAGTGACGTTCTCAAGTTTGGAAAGAAAAAAGTCGCACGCGGCCAAATCTGGAGAATACGGTCGATGGGGCAGCAGTTCTGCAATTCGGCGACGAGCCTGCCCAATAATTCGGCCTTGTAGAGCCCTGTGACCGTTTTCCCCGTCTCCAGGTACTCGACGTAGGAAACACCTGAATCCCAGAAAACAGCGGAAATCATCTTTCTGGCCGATAGGACACCCAACTAGCAAAGTAGTGGTATAAGCTTTTGGTAAAAGAACCGTTCAGCCATAAAAGCTCTCTGTTGTTGTTGCCTGAACACAAAAATGCTGTCTTAATGTTGTGTGGAATGCAGATTTGCTTTCTGCAACATATTTGCTCTAAAATGAAGTGTTTAAAATATTCTTATAACATAGTTATACAACACCTTATAGGGCAAATTTTTAACTGTTGCATAAACGTTTATACAACTATTTTATACGGCATATTTGCACGTTAGTCGAAATGGTTGTGTTGTGGAATCCATGGTAACGTTTATAAAACAAACCCGAGCCTTGTTGTTTTGCTGTGCAATTTTCTACTTTAGCCAACAAATTGCTCCCAACGGAAGCACTTATACAACTGTTGTTTAGTAACTGTTAAAGGCTGTACATATGCTAAAGATGTTGGTAAACAACTTCACCATAACCTAACTTTCTGATGTCATATTTTGTAAAATGCTAAAATGCCATAATCAATGTTTTAAGACAAACAACGCACGCATATTGGTTCAAAAGGTTTTATAAACTGTTCAAACAGAAGATATAGATCTGGTACAAATTCTAGGTAAATCATTCGACTCTGTCGGTATTTCATTTCAGACATTTGTCAAATTGTTGTATATCACCTGCAGGCAAGACCAAAATATTCTAATAACCTAAAGACAACATGGACGATGCCATGATTGTACACAACCACCCGCCATATCGGGCAAACATTTGTGTAATTGTGTCTAAATATAAGATTTGTGGAAGATTTAACGCAGATAAGTTCAGTTTTCCATCTTAAAAATCTAGACATACTTTTGATCATTGTCAAAATATGAATCAAATACGCAGCCCGTAGAAATTGGGTAACTAATTTGCACGATAATCACAATAAAACAAAAACAAAATAATGTACCTCATTCATATTATTTAAGGGTAATAATAAAGACATCGAAAGTGGAAAACAGAGTTGAAACGTCAGATTGAAATTCTAATCACGCCACTGTGGAGATGAGAAAAAATGGAAGTGTCATTTGTTTGAAATTTGTAGACAATGTGGATGTTTGAAAAGTTTTGTTTCGGACAAATAAAGGGACAAAATAAAAACGACTTAAACTAAATTCCGAAATACATTGAATTTCCAAACTGCAAATATCACGTTAACACGTGCAGCCCCCTGGGCGGAGGTGACACCAACCCTAAAATCTTAAATGGAAAGGCGGGTCGAGCGATACCTTATTTTAAAGGTATTTCAATTCCCTTTATAATGAATGAAATTAGTGTATTCAGTTCAGTACTTTGAAGATTTATTGATTTAAAGCTTAAAGTAGTCTTTAATAGGTACCTACATCAGATTTGTTTGTACTACTTTCAGAAGAAATTTGACTAAAAGAATTTACTTAATAAGTAAATGCTTTTCTTCACTACGCCCATGGTTTATTTATTATTTTGTTGTTGAAAATAGCTATTGGAGCGTTTTTTTTTTGTGTGAAAAAAGTTATTTCTTGAAGAAAGATAGGAAAATATCTCGTACTTACTTATTTTAAATAGTAGTAGTACATAGTTTGCGATTGATTTGACCAAACTTTGTTGCTAAAATAACTTGTAACGTTTTATTACATAAATTAACCATGGTATATTCCACAGCAGAAAGAGTTGAAATTATCGAAATATTTTTCGGAAATAATGAGTGCGCTAATAGAACAGCAGAAATATTTATGATGATTCTGAAGGCCCATAGTTTTCATCCATATAAAATTCACCTGGTACAAGAACTTAATGAAGGCGATTTTGATCGGCGATTACAATTTTGTATAGATATGAGTGAACGAATTATAAACGATGAACATTTTCTATTCAACTCTTGCTTTTCCGACGAATGTTCCTTTTTCTTAAATGGCGTAGTAAATCGTCATAACTGTATTGGTCCGATTCTAATCCCAGAATTTATCATGAGGTTCATATACAGCAGCCACAAAAATTAAATGTTTGGGCTGGTATTTTTGGCGATCATTTAGTTGGTCCTTTTTTCTTACCTCGAAATTTGACCTGTGAAATGTATTTGGAATTACTGGAAGACGTCATAGATCCTGCATTAACAGCCATAATTGAAAATCAGAGTGGTCGGCGGTACATTGCGAATAGGTTGATGTTCCAACAGGATGGTGCCCCACCACATTACGCATTACGTGTTCGACAATATTTAGATCAGACGTTTCCAGATCGATGGATTGGTAGAGGAGGTGCCATTGAATGGCCCCCAAGATCGCCAGATTTATCACCTTTGGATTTCTTTATGTGGTGTCATTTAAAAAGCAAAATCTATGCTACTCAGCCAACATCATTAGAAGACCTGCGACAAAGAATTGTGAATGAGTGCCTCCTAATTACTCCTCAAATATTGCAAAATGTGCGGCAACGCTTTGACCAAAATCTTTATTATTGCATGGAGAGTCATGGTGGCCATTTTCAACATTTCAAATTACTTTACTGACAAATGTATTGATCTCCACTAATGATGATGTATTAGTTTTATTTAAGCTTTAAATCAATAAATCTTCAAAACTACTGAACTAAAGTACATTAATTTTATATCATTATAAAGGGAATTGCAAGACCTTTAAAATACGGTATAGATCGACCCCCCTTTCCATTTAAGATTTTGGGGGTAGTGTCACCCCCGCCCAGGGGGCTGCATGATTTTTTGCCAAACTTGTGTCCCCCTCGAAAACAAAATCGACTGGTCTGAGCGTTTTTCCAAAAAAAAACTGAGCTGCCAGTAAATGCGTCTGTTTCGTTTTCGATGCGCCACCCTGTATAGTGCTTTTAGCAAAATTAAATTTATATCTAACATAGATTTCAATTAATCCTAGTAATTTCTCATCTAATCGATATTGATTAAGCTTGTGAAGAACCCTGTACAGAATAATTTAATTTTTGTAAAAAATGTTCTCTTCAATTTTTTCCGAACTGGGGAAAAGGGGGACAGTTGACCCTCCCTGCCCCTCCCCCTGGGTACGTCCTTGCATATATTTGACACAAAATAGATTCATCTAGATTAAGTAGATTTTTTTTTGTAAATTTCCATTTGAAATGATGAGTACCAGTACAACAAATAATTATCATCAAATACATAATTACTTATCTTTGGTAAATATATTATCAGAGGTCGACGAAATGAGTGACTGTATCAATAATATTACTGAACTGTACAAAAATATCTTCACCATTCTTGAAATCCTTTTGTGGTTAATGCTTTGTTCGTGATGGCTTGATTATACCTAGCGTTTTGTATTTACATAATATAATAACCTCCCTTAGAAAATACACAACGGATGTAGGCTCATCAAAGTGGTGATATACAAAGAAATATGCGTCACCTAACGATAATATTATAACGATAAAGACAATCTACCGATTTTACCGTTTGGACAGCCATCAGATAAAAGAACGGTTAAGGCGGCTCCGAAGCAGTGAGTTTAGGTTTCAGCTGCTTCAAAACTGACACTCCATTTTTCAATATTTTTGAATGAAATTCATACAGTATGTTGAGAAGATAATTGCTCAGGGTGCTATAGGAGCACTTTTTGAAATTTTGTTTTTGCACAAGTTTTATGATGGGTTGAAGTGCGTACTTTTTCTGTTCAACTTCGCGATTTTTTTAAAAGAACCTAGTGAAAAAAATGAAGAAGTGACTCTATAGCACCCTGGGGGGTTTTGTTTTCAACACTCTGTGAAAATTTTATCAAAAAATAAAGAGTCAATTTAGTAGCGCGCAAACCTCTACAAATCGTATTTTGGACGAATTTTGTTTACTGTTTCGTGCTGCCAACCCAAGCGTTGCGGCGCTAAGATGGAACAAAGACTCAAACGCAAGAATCTTGAAAAAAAACTCAGACCAAAAAAAGCTGATATAAAAATAACTAACAATGCGGATAGCAATTCCAGAGAAAATGAATAGTTTTATGGCGAATTCAATCAAAAATCTGACATTAACTACATTGATTTGGAGGTTGCTAAGCGAAAATTTTTAGGGAAACTTAAAAAAAGTGACGACGAGATTTTGCAGATCGAACAAGTCACCAAATCACAGGACTGTACTTTGTCGCGCCTTCATCGGAGGATAAGGTTGACAGCGTCTCGATTTGGTGAAGTTTGTAGAAGAAGGCAGACAACAAGCTGTAAAGTCCATCATATACCCAACAGAGTTTTCTAGTAAGGCAATAAAAAAAGGCAATACAAAAATCATTGGACACCGCAGTTCAGTCTTGTGGTTTTTTCATTGATCGCACACATCCATTTCTGGTTAGCATCGCCTCCATCTAGCTATTACAGTAGACAAGAAATGTACTTAATCCAGGTATAAGCCTACCTGTTTATTGCTTTGCAAAAACTATCTAGCTGTTTCCTCTTATTTTGACGGCATAAGATATTTTTATGGCCCTCATTCAATTGTTACCATATACCACATGACCCTTGTAAACATAATTGTGTTTACTGACATGAATAAACGAATTTCAAGTTGAATTGTTGAATTTATTTTAGGAAATATATCAAATTATTTGAATACATTTTTCTTAGTCGGAACGCACCGTCGCGTCGCTTGGACTGGCAGGACGAAACAGCAGACGAATTTCGCCCAAAAACCGATTTGCACTTCACAGCTTACGTTTCATTTTTTATTATTTCCAAATGAAACTCTTGCAGCGTGCTAAAAACAAAGTCCACAGGGTGCTAACGATCCACTTTTTCGATTTTATCCACTAGGATCTTTTTAAAATATCAAGAAGTTGAACACAATTATTCACTGATATCAAAGATGCAACATTTAGAATCACCTTTCCCCAACCCCCACTTTTAAGCAGTACAATTTTTTTCTACCAATGATAAAGAACCCCTGTAACGTCAAAAACGGAGTTTCAGCAATTGTTACTTTTTTGCCTATAGCACCGTTGCCACTGGACTAAAACTACAAAGCTTTGGCATACTAGTAACCTCGTGTGGAAATTTCATAAAGTCCGAGCAGTTATTTCCAAGTTGATGAGTGATACAGTTTTTCATATGACTTAAAAAAACATAACATCTTATATTAGAAATTTTTCGCGATTACAATACTTCCTCGCCAATGACGTGGGAAGTAAAACGGCTTTAAAATCGAGGAGTATCAGCGATCGCGATTATGAGTACCTATTTGCAGAACGACTTATCTACGCGATATTATATGAAATAGGATCACCAAATTATCGGAATACGTCCTTTTTTAGTCCGTACATTGCGCCGCAACGCTTGGGTTGGCAGCACTAAACAGTAGACAAAATTCGTCCAAAATACGATTTGTAGAGGTTTGCGCGCTTCGAAATTGACGCTTTATTTTTTGACATTTTTGGATGAAATTTTCACAGAGTGCTGAAAACAAAACCCCACAGGGTGGTATAGAGCCACTTTTTCATTTTTTTCACTAGGTTCTTTTTAAAAAAATCGCGAAGTTGAACAGATAAAGTGCGCACTTCAACCCATCATAAAACTTGTGCAAAAACAAAATTTCAGAAAGTGCTCCTATAGCACCCTGGGCAATTATCTTCTCAACATACTGTAAGAATTTCATTCAAAAATATTAAAAAATGGAGTGTCAGTTTTGAAGCAGCTGAACCCTTGTAAATGGCTTGAAACTCACTGCGTCGGAGCCGCCCGTCATTTTCTAGGTATGCCGGTTAACATTGTTAAATTTCGACCAACATCTATCAGGTAACCAAATAAGTTCGTGCGGTTTTTAGTAGAAAAATATAATTTTTTTTTGAGAAACAATAAGACACTATTTATTCATCGAAGTAACTACCATCACATTCACCTTTTGCCAACGAGGAACCAATTTTTGTATGCCGGTATTGTGGAACTCCCTGGATTTGGAGTAAAAAATTGGCGGACTGCACTGGATGAGTGCTGCTTGTACTCATTGAAGCTGCTCACAATACAAGTTTGCAGTGAACACAGCAATACCTTGTTTGTGTGCAAGGAAGCCTTGGGCGTGTGTGGTACCGAATCAGTAGGCGACAACCAATGACACGAACTCTTAAAATTCGAATACAAGATCCATTTTTCGCCGCAGGTTAATAACCGATTAAAAAATGGTTCATTAGCGTTGCGTGAAATGTTTGCTGAACAAATGGTAAGACGACTTAATTTGTTACCATTTGTCAGTTCCTGTGGGATCCATTTGCTTAACTTCCACGTCTTTCCTAGCTGATGAAGATGCAAACGAATAGTTTCAGGACTCACTTCTGAACATTCTTGGCACGTTGTTTTTCGCGCCGCCGCTGCAGCTTTTGTACCAAGTTTGTACTCGTACAGTAAACAACTTCGAATGACTGTTTTATTCGTCGCCATTTTCAATTATTAAAACTAGGTACGTAACAATTTTCAGCAACTTTTTATGTGTGTGAGAAAAGAAGGATTCATACTACAGTGACAACAGGTAACAAACAATCGCTATCGATCAACAACATCCATGGCAATGTGCGATATACAGCAACCGCACGAACTTATTTGGTTACCTGTATTCATTTTACACATTACCGGTGGAACAGCAGGTACTCTATACAATCCCTAGGTATTGTATTCATTACCTAGGTAAAGTTTGTAATGGATAATGATATTCATAATATTTCATACATTGCCTGGGCAACCCAGGTATTCTATATATTGCCTAGGTTTTGTATAGAATACCTGAATTATACAGATTACCGGTAACATTTGTATATTTTGGTTATATGTTCTTTATGATACTATATTAAAATTATATGCAAATGTATCCTGTGGTTATGTTGATGATAACTTATGATGGGTTCTTAGTTGTCCTTTTCATATCACAATGTCAACGCAGGTGATCCCAGGAATCAGTCTTAGATTCAACATTTTGTTTCTCTTAAACATAAGCGATGAAACTTCGCGGATTACAGCACTTTACATGCAAGCACTTAGTTTCAGACGATTTTTTTGACATGCTTTTATTAGTTTGACTGTGAACTCGTATGAATCTAACGGAATCTTTTAACCTAATCTCCACCAATTCCAAGAAGTCTGATTAACCTGAGAATTTACATAGGGGTCAAGGGCCGATGACAATTCAATAATCTTGGAACAAAATTCAAATATGAAAATTGTTAAAAAACTTGAATTTTGAAAACAAATTTGGTTTTGAAAATTTGGAAAATAATTGGAGAATTCAAAAATCAAAATAATTTAAGTTAAGTTTAAGTTTTGGAGATTTTGTGTCACCAAGTCATTAGAAAAATGGAACTCAACCGAACAATATTTGATGTATAACAGTGAAAATTGGTATACAAGGGTTTTTTGGTACGACAAAACGAACCATGGGTATAGTTTTACTGTAGCCGCTGGAGGGCGCTCTCTACTGTACCTGTAATGTATTAAAATGACCGAAAAATTTTTCTTAGTGCAATTTTTTGCTTTTTGAATAAAAAAACTGATTCTTCG